TCATTCTCTTATGCTCTTTAGATACAGTAGCACTGTTTTTTTGTTTTATATGTCTCAAAATACTTTTTGAAGGGGTAGGAACCCCCCCTCAAAATATTTTTTGATGAATAATTGTTAGGAAATATAGGGAATGGAGATGATATATTGAAAATAAATTCAGAATCAAATAGGTACTCATCTAGTCTATTTATGTGTTCAAATGTGAATTGAACCCCCTGTAGCAGGAAAACTGTCCATTTTTCAGGATTGTCACCCAATTATTTTCTGATCAGTATCATATAGAGTACATCATATCAAAAATTCAGCGAAATCCACCGAACTTTTTTTTCATGGGCGCCTCCCATTCGGTGAGGGGCAATAATACAAAAAGGCGGTTTCCATAATTCTGTGTAATGGAACATTTTCTATCACTTTTGACGGTTAGGCGAATTCTCTTTTTTTTTTCGTTTTTCAAAATGGGAGTTTGGGGTAATAATTCCCCCTCACTATATTTTTTTCAAAAAGCATATATTCATAGGAGAAATTAGATGAAATAAAAAATTCTAGAATATTGTTCATTCTCTCAGAAATAAATAATCAATTCGGTCAAAATGTGAATTCAACCCCCCCCCTAGCAAAAAAACTGTTCATTTTTGGGGGTTGGCGCAATGCCAATATGTAATCGAATCAAATGAACTACATCATACCAAAAATTGAGAAAAATCCACCGGGACCCAATATACCTTGAAAATTTGCGGGGTCCTTTTGTGTTACAGATTTTATAGCAGAGATTAGCCACCCACAGAACAAGATGCTCACACTTCCCTGTTTAAAAAAGGGAAAGATTTTTCAAGGTTTCGGAAACGAAATGTAGATGGCGCGTCCATCTGCGTTTCCACCTGAACTAGTTTTTTTAAATTTAAAATAACCTGAACAAACGATGAATCTCTAAAAATCATGACAGTAATTTCTCCTATAAAAGTAAAAAGTTACCTATCCAACTAAGTATGACATGAAAATCATTTATCTTCCTGGACAAAAGTTGCTGAAAAATACTTGTGAGCAACAAGCGTTTTGTAGGCTTTCATCTGCCTATGAGTGTAAAAACTGTGGGTCACTATAATAGTAGAAGAGTATAATTATCAGGTAGTCTAATCAGTCAGCAGTTTCAGATGTGAAGGGCTTCAAATCCTTGATCAACATCAGCCTCATCAGATATCTACAAACAAATTATGGTTTTATGATAGTATCAGGCATGAAAATTAATGGTTAGTTGAGAAAAATAGACGAAATAACATTAAATATTCATGTTTACCTCTGACCAACCTCTGGGTTTTCATGCAATAACTTCTTGAAATATCAACTTTGCATATTGAAGCACTGGGAAAACTAATTCAATTCAACTCCCGAGACTCCTTCAAACACCTGACACATAAAACTACCAGAATAGGGAAAAGACAATTCAATTACAAGTGATGTATAATCTTCGTTTGCCAACCAGACGCCATCTTGCCAGCTAAAATGATACGTGGTGTGGATTGCCTAATTTCAGTAGTGCGGATCAATAAAATAAACTCCACCCACTTCAAATAAAACTAATATATTTCCAAGGTTGGTAGAAACGTTGATTGATATATTACGCTTTATATCAATCAACGGTAGAAATGATGATTATTCTCCAAAGTGTCTATTAGATGTGCACATCTAGCTTTCAAACGATTTTGACCCATATTCGATATTCAAGCTATGAAGAAACTCTGACCGAGCGGACTAGGTTCGAAATCGCTTTGAGTCCAGACTTTTTTTTAATTTATTTGAAGTTATGTATATCTTCATAATGAAACAAATTGCTAAAATATGTACCTACTGGGGAAAAATACCATTATGGGAATTATTGAATAAGAGTAGAATAATTATTTTGAAAAATAATTGAGATAATTTTTCCAAGTTGATGTAGGATGTAGAGGGAGATAAATAGTAATTTTCCAGTTTGTCGGTTTGTTGAAGATACCTATTATGTAGAAAATTAGATGAACTTGGTTAAACTTTATTTAATATAAATAATGGCTAGAAAATTTTAAAATCATCAGAAATATGAGGGAAATTACCAGATTACAAAGGAGATGTTTTTATTTTCATTTTTGGGCAATTATTCTCAAGGTCATTGGAGTCAAAATCAAACAGCGGGACCCCAGCACCAGGACCCCGCCGCCGCCACTCGACTAGCATGCAACTTTCAGCTTTAAACGTTTCCATTTACTAGCATCCAACGCATTTGGCTAGTCGAGTGGCTGATAAATGTTCACTAAAATATTCTATTTCGGTTACCATTTTCAACCCATCTCTCTCTATCTCACAACGCGCCTTATGCTCTATAGCAATTAATGCATTGGGCTCTGTGTAAAATAGCCGAAAATTATAAACTATTCAAATTTAAACTTGGGGCGCTAAGGTTGATGGTTTCATTATGCTATTGGTATGATAATATTATGATCTATATAATTCAATACGTCGATTATTCTGACCGATATAACACGAATAATTAGAAAACGCCATTGGCGACCGATGGTGGTCTTATTTCCGCAATGTTTTAGCCTATCGTTGATTGATATATTACGCTTACGCTGTAGCGTAATATATCAATCAACGAGCCTATGCATGCGAAACTTCTGAGATATATTTTCGCGATGGTATTATATAGGTACTAGGTGTTTTTTTTTCAATAGGCATTATCCATTTTACACATACAAACAATCATTAAGTATTTTTCGATAACTATATAATAATACAAATATTTTCGTAACGAATTATTTTTTTGTCCATAACCTGCTAATTCCTTCTAAACTTGAAAAAATAATCGATTTCTCGCACATGATTACTATAAAATGACTACTTATTAATGAGTGTTCTAGAGGCATCATAGTAATAATATATTTATTAAGTAATAATTGTTTATACGGAAAATAGATATATATAGGTCCTTATATGGAAGACATCATGTTTATGAAATCATCGTGGAAATTGTAAAAAATATATATGTTTCTGCAATTTCTCAACATGTTTGGGCAATAAACCGTCTGGTTATTTGCCCTCACTATATACGTATATTGAAATAATAGGTATACTCATATTTTCATTTTATATTATGGAAACGAGGTGAGAAAATCTCAAAATCTGGAATCATGAATGTTTAAGTTATTGCATGATAAAAAGCTTGATAGCGAAATATCTGTTTTTTTTTTGTATTTTAAATCCATGCTCTTGGAATTTTTATAATCCCACCACGAAAATAGAGGGTGTGCTTCAATCGGGAGTGATGAGCAACTCATTACCCCTTTGACGGATTACCGTTATAATCTGACTTAGACGGTGGTCCTTGAGGTCAATATTCCCCTGTACTTGAATTTGCGGTATAGGCACATTGAAGAAACACGCGATCAAACATTTGAGTGAGTGATAATTTCTGATAACAGGTATTACGATGAAAATACCGTGAATACTAACATATAATCTCCAGAAGTTCAAAAAGAACTTCAATACCTACCTCCTGTCCCTATCCTCCCTAGGAACGTACGATATATGTTCTTTAATCATTATAGGGATTTCCTTTCGTGCGCTCCAAGCGATAAAAAAATCAAAATTGAGTGTTTATATCGAATTATTCGGTTTATTTTCGCCAATCCTAGGAAATATGAAGAGCTTAGGGTGTCCTCAATGAGCTCAACAGAAATGTGAACTCTGTTAATTTCAGTCTATGATGTGACTTAGTTTTCCAGGTATTCCAGATTTTCTCTCTATTGCCCAGTTTTTGTTTCATTTCCATATTGGAGAATAATTCCAAACTAAATACTAGTGCAACAAGGCTTCTGTGACATAGATATTATAATGTCTTGTGACATCTTGTGTAGCTGATAAATTGATTTGACTTGATATTCAGATGCTACACAGATAATTTCATAAATTCAGAAAAATGGTTAGGAAAATAATGTGGGAACATGTTATATTCAATGAGATGAAATTATTGAAACTGATGGACAGATTCAATATTAAATAAACAAAATATTTTGTTTCCAATCCGACATTATTTCAATAATTGATTTCCATGATGGGATTTTTTATTTTTAATTAATTATTAAAAGTTGAAAACTTTTATTAAACTTACATTGTATGTTTGTATGTATGTATGTTCGGGTGGAATCTTTGAACTCAATTTTGAAGTAGAAATCTTCAACCGATTGAGCTGAAATTTTGTATAGACGTTCAGTTTGGATGACAATGCACGATAAGGTGTGTCATGATGTGACGTCATTCTAAATCGAATATGGCGGACCATCCAAGATGGCGCCTTAATGGTCATTTTTAACCTACTTCTACAATATGATGGGTATCAAATGAAAGGGATCGTTGAGAGTAATTCGAAAAATAATGTGACATTATTCTAAATCCAATATGGCGGACCATCCGAGATGGCGGAATAGCTATTTTTAATATCTCTGAGATGTGGCTATGAAGAAACACTGCAATATTACGAATGTTCCATCGCTGCGATGTACAGAAGCAAGCATACCTGCGACATGACATTTCGTAGATGTCGCGATGAGGCAACACTTCGTCACTTCGATATTACGAATTGTCCATCTCTGCGTTCTACAAAAGCAAACACATCTACATGACATCTCTGAGATATCACGACGAGGCAACAATGCATCAATATCACGATGAGGCAACACTGCGATATCACGAATGTTCCATCGCTGCGATGCACAGAAGTACACTCATTTGCGAGAATTTTATAAAAATTTGTTATTTAGATTCTTTTTCGGTGAAAAAGAAAATATGAATACCTACACGTAACTCAACAAAGTGATGCTGAATTCGCAAATATTGACCAAATTGATTGCTGGGTTCTGAGTGAAAATGGATATATTGATAGGTATAGACTATATATATTCGTCAATTGATTGACCAAATTTGAAACATGCATTTAAAATACTTGATAACAAATATAATAAATACAAAAGTCATCTTGTGTGTTTTATTGATTTTTTTTCAGAATAGTTCTGCAAAACATGAACAATTGTCAATTATTGTTATATATGATGGTTTGTTTATAGTTCAATAATGGAAAACACATATGTGGGTACAAAAGTATATAGGTATTTTTGTCTCTATTTTATTAATTAAGGGTACCTACATACTTGGTTTGTCCCTTATTGAATAAGAATAGAGATTTTTCCTCCATTATTTTTTTCAAATTGTGTACTGAATATCGGTTATATTGCCCCCAAATGCTATTCATATATTTGCTGCTGTAGTTCATTGGAACATCATTACCTGCAAAAAAAAAAAGAGAATTCAAGGTCAATTATTTTCCTCAATAGTATATATACAGTATAAATAGAAGCAATGATAAAGTTGGCTGTTCTATGTACATGCATTTTGCGATTTTGTTTCTATGTTGATTCTGATACTCACGTAGAGCTTTTAGTTTTTCTTCATTTTGGCGAATTTTGTTAGCTGCGAAGGCTGCCTGCGGCACAGAGGCCATAATAGGTTCCTCACAATTGCAATCTAAAAACAAATAAAATGTAATAGGAATATGACAAGTTCATAAATATCTTCATAAAATCACTTTAAAACTATGTCCCTTCAATACACTCCTTTTAATTCTAAAATTTTTCATTGACCATGATGAACTCATTTTGTATTTGCAGTGCATATTCAATAATTAAATGGTCGAATCCATTTTTGGGTTGAAATCTTGGCCGACTATAGGACCACTTTTTATATGGGCTTGAGTATAAAAAATTTAATAATCACGTTACCTGCCGATTTTCATCTTTCTCGAATATTTCATTCAATAATTCAATCCTGATGTATTTCAGAATGGAAATTCTATATTTCATAATGAGTTCTACCAAGAAAACCATCTAACTTCTGCAAGAATTTTGGTGAATTTATAGACTCACAACTCAAAGGTAAACACGTCAGTCATTCAATTAAGGAATCATATTTCAAACTCAAAGTACTATACCTCCATGAAGACATTCAGAGTACCTACTAATGTGAAGCTCAAACTTTGTGATTCTTCAATCTTATCAGAGTTGGCTTATTGTGATATTGTTTATTGGCCAAATAAGCTAGTCTCCAAAAACTACAGAACTCATGTCTAGAATTTTGCTATAATCTAATTTTGCCAATTTGTCTTATTCATATCTATCATACTTGTCACTGAAACTTCGCGATTGTAATTTTCTGATATCACCTGAGGTCCTTAGATTAGTTTACTTCGAATCATTGCCACCTAGATGTAATTTCAAGAGTGACTCCGAAAAAATTAAGTAGGCACTAAAACTTTCGAAAATGTCACATTCTGATCTAGAATTGTCTCAGAAATCCAGAAATGTTACAATATACAGGGTGTTCCATTTAAAAATTCAGAACCGGAGCCATTTCCGGTGAAACCGGAAATGACCGGAAAGTGAAAAATATGTGAAAACTTTCCTCTTCACATACCATTTACCTATACCAAATCTCATTTTGATACACCTAATGGTCTAGAAGTTATATGACTTGTCTAATAGATTTGTTGACACCCGGTATATCTAACAAGTAAAAATGTTTTTTGGTTGTATGATAAATTTACATTCATCATACAGGACGTGGAAAGAAATTCTGAATTAAGAAAAACCAGGAAAGTAGTTGTTTTCTGTTAAATAAACCGAGAAAGAATTAATATTTTCATCACATATGGAGAATGGGAATTCTCAATGTATTTCTTTATATCCATTTTTGGTGTTCATGAATATATCTGAGAATGTTCATTTTCAATAAGTAGCAAATGTGTATCAAGATGGATCTGAAAATAATAAAGCAGGATTATAATGGATAAGTAGGGGTGCAAAAATTATATCTTGATGCGGACACGTGAAAGGTGATTGTGTCACACTTATTTTCAATGATTCAAAAATGGTGATGGATAATAAGACGTCTGTTGAAAAATTGGCAAAAATGTAAGAATGTTAATTTCGTACGTATTACATAGGTACAGTATCATAGGCAGCAAAATCATTATTGAACTATATATACTTACATGAACAATAATAGTCGTCGTCACAGCTATCGTTGAATGTTGTAGCTAATTTGGACTCGTGCTCTGGACAGAAAATTAAAAAATATTCAAGTAGGCAATAGGTATTCTACTTTGTATATATAACACGACTCTACCAAATTTCTTTCGTCTATAGAATGGCGCAAAGCTTTGGAATTCTTTGCCAATCGAAGTATTCCCAAGAAATTATAACTTCGAGAAGTTAAAAGAAATCCAATAACTATACCTCCTATTCCGATCCTCCCTAATAGATACGCACGATATTTTTCGAACATCATAAGAATTTTGTTTCGTGCGCTCCAACAGATTTAAAAACATATAAATATATATACGTATATAGATAGAAGAACGTGCTTTTGTGATTTCTAATTTTTATTTGATTCCAATTTTTTCTGAAAAACACAGTAGAGGCGGTATTGCTTACTTTGACTAATTCATTATCATAAATGTGAAAGTGCGCCTATTCCTGAAGTTTTTCCCATGAGATGTTAGCATTTACCATCAGACGTCGTATATTATACCATAGATTATTATACGTTTTCCGTCGACCTCGTATTAATGACTAAGTTTAATGTATATGAAATCGTTCATTAATGACCCCTATTAATGAACGATTTGTCTATTAATGTACGATTGTTTTATAGGCAACCAAACATACACCGCGTGCATTCATTGTTTATGCTATAACTTACCGAATCTGCATTTAAATCGAAAATATGGATTTCATTGAAGATTTTCTGTTAACGGGTTCACCTTTCCAAGTTTCTGACACGATTTTAATCCCTGTTTTCTAACACAAGGAATTTATTTTCTATGTTGATCATTTCGACAAATGTCAAATGACACTAATGTCAGTGACAAGGCTACTGGGTGATTCTTAGCAGTTTCCAGATGAATGATGAATTCGCGAACCAAGTTTTCTTCATTGCAGGAGAAATGAGAAATATAGTCGACGGAAAAATTCTGTAACCAACTTGTATATTAAAAAGCGATTAATGATCTCGAACATTAACGCGCTCGCTTCGCTCGCACGTTAAAATATCTCGATCATTAATCGCCCTCATTAATAAACTAGTTGGTTAAATAACTATTCATTTTCGATTGATTATCAACTCAATTTTTATTATATGACACGGTTTTTTTAGAAGATCAATCATGGAAATCAAAATTCTCTAATATTATTGACTTACCAGGATAAGTATTACCCAATTTTTTGTCAATATATTCACGTTGCAGAAACATAGATTTTAACATCAAAACAGGAAAGATATTCTTAGGAATATATTACATCAATTGCAGAATGAATACTAATAGAATGATTGAACTCTGCTGGGTTATTGTTTGCAGTTAACTGATAAAATATGCAATTCAATTAGGTCAAAAGACAAAGGCTATCTTATTCATATCTCCTTTTCAATAATAAAGAAGGATGATTTGTAAATAAACAAAAATTTCATAAATATTTGATATATGATGAACATGTACCTACTATACATACAGGGTGACATTTGGAAAACTTCCCACCCTCAATATCTTCCTTCCAGTAAATAATATGAAAAATCGAAAAAACAGGTCAATTTCATTTTCAAGGGGAAAAGGGAACACTTTCAATGAATATTTTTGCCCTCTTGGTTCAACCCCCTAGGAGGCATATAGATGTTATACCCTCAGAATCTCAAATAATGGGAAGGGGGGGGTCAAGTGGTAGATCATTTTGAAGGGCGTTCAATTCCCTTTCCAAGGGTACCCTATTTTCTCATTTTATATCAAGCAGTTTTCGGAAAATGCCATGCATGTCAATTAGAAAAATTCTTCTCCTCAATATCTTATTCCTTCCAGTAAATAATATAAAAAATCGAAGAGACATGTCAATTTCATTTTCAAGAGGGACACTTCAAATGTATATTTTCAGGAGGGATAGAATTTTATGTTACCCACAGAACCTCGGAACCTATATGAAAAGAGGGTCAAGATGTACATTTTTTGAAAGGTTGTGTCTCATTCTATTTTTCTGGTCCCTCGTGAAAAAAGGATGCCCACCACTGATATAGATTGTATTCAGCATGTCTAGATTAGTCTAGAATGATTCATTTATATCAAAATACCTTGAGCAGGGTGGTTGAGGGGTAGTTTTTGGATCAAAAATTATTTCACCCAATAGAGCATACCCAGTATATAGGTTTAGAATAATGCATTTCCATGAAAAAACATTGAGCAAACGGATATATCAATTGTTGTAAGATTCTACTTCTGAAGGTTATTGTTCAGGGGTAGATTTTGGATAAAAAATTATTTCATCTCATAAAGCATATTCAGCAGGTCTAAAAATGATTCAGGTTCTTCTGTTAGAACCGTCTTTGAGGAAAGAAGTTGTCTCAACATCATTATGGAATGTAATAATCTCATTAAAACAGAATAAATTTATGGAAACAACCTGTTTTTGCCATATGTTTGGTGAAAAACCTATGTGGGAAACAAGTAGAATGACTCATGAGATAGTTCAAAGATGAGTATATCAACATTGACTTTCTTTTAAATTACCTGTATAGAGGTTTGTTTCTCCTCACCCCCTCTCAACACAAATTGAGCTATGTCAACAATGTAGCTGCAGGCAGGCAAAGCTGCAATCATCAATTTTATAAAATTTAGGTTAGATTTCTTTTATGCAGAAAATGCATAGTCCATACTTACCAAATTTCCATCAGAAGTTTCATCTGAGTACCTATACCTGCTAGATTCCTACTAGGTTCTGATTTTTTCCTTTAGTCATCCTCTGCTCCAAAATACAAGGGTGGTTATACTTGAAGGACATAATGTGCCTAAATATTTACATAGAATAATTAGGAGATTAGTAGAAAAGATTATGCATATATAACAGGTAGGATTGTTCAATTTATTGATTCTAGAATTAATGATCTTACATTACAATGTTCAATGTCTAACTTATACCTACAGAAGTTAAGAAAATCCTATCTATTAAAACATGTTAATGTATAGATAACAAACTACTGTTTTTCAGTCTTGAGAGATGAATGGGTTTTGTATAGACTCCATACCATCCATAGGGCAAATCAAGACCACACTAGTGCCCCTGCAAACCACCAAACCAAGTTCTCTTGTATCTTCAGTCAATTTATATGGGTCATCAGAGTCTCGTAAATACTCAGATGTACTATCTAATACCAAGTTGAGTAAAGGGTCATAACCTTTGAGAATACCACTAGCTTCTCTTCCACCAGCAAACTTTACACGTATTGGTTTCTCCAGATATTTAGATAGATCTAAAATAGATTCTTTCCTCTTTTTCTCTTTCTGATCTCCACTTTGATTCTGAAAATCATATCCTTTTAGATAGGTATACTTTTATTGTTGTTTCTTGAAGCAGTATCCATCAATGAGAACTCTAGGTAAATAATGCAAAATGCAATAAAGAAAAAGGGATGGATATGTAAGGGTATTTCCATGTACCTACTCACTTTATCACGCTTGTCTCCAGATGAGGCCATTGATATTATTGGAATCCTACAACTTATTTTTATATTTTTCACATGCACCATGCACAAACCCACGAGAGCCTATAGTTTTTTAACCATTCCCAATCCCAATATCCCAAATCTAAGTCCCAATTTAATTTCCCAAACCCCATTCCCATTGGCCCATTGCATTTTGCATTGTCAATTGTCATGCCGTCACAAAACTTTCATAGTTTTTCAGTCGAGTGCCTGCAGATAGTTTCCTCACAGCCATCCAATATTATGGCTTCCACCACACGTTGCGAGATTTTTCCAGATATATCTTCTCACGAAGAAAGTTCATTTGAGCCGAGCTGAATTGGATTACTCAGAGAAAGTAGTCTCCTTCTATCTCTCTATCAATTTTCCGAAGATTATAATTTTTGGGAAGGTTAATTTGGACAGAAGAGAAAGCGGCGTTCACAACCAAACTTTTTACGTTTTGCTTTTTACGTTTCGTATTCTGATTGGTGCAGCAAAATCTGTAATTGAAATGACGCAAAAAGCTGAAAATATCCAAAGAATTCTTTGGTATTCTGTGGTAAATATATGATAAGGACGGAAAGTGAAGAATGGAAACCAAGTTTTGTATTATTTTTGCCCTACGTCGGCATCAACGCCTATTGGTCGATTTCGTTACCTATAGTTGAAGTTGGTCCCGCTTTGAGGACATCTATGGTTCATATATGAGTAGTAAATATATGCTGTTCTATGTTCAGCGTCATACGTCATACATTATTTGACAGAACGACAAAATAATGTTCCATGTCTATTTGTTAAATTATTCACATTTTCACTATTTTATAAATATCATGATGAATTTTCATTAATTCTGGGTGTTCTACTTCGTGTTCATTACAACAAACCTTTAGCAACCATAAGTTTTATAAGTTATTCTAAGATTGAAAAGTCAGACAGGAAAACATGTTTCATCGCAATCTTTCTTCCCTATAGTGATTGAATTGATTTATTGTTTATCCCATGTTTATCCTATAAAGAACCTTGTTTTATAAAAATAAAAACAATTCTTGGCACTAAAAAAGAGGTGCAATATTTTTCCTCCACCAGAAGGGCCTGGGATGTGAAACCAAGAAACCACCTACATGGGAATTCCATTGAGAAAAACTTAATATTATGCCTGATTTTATTGGTACTATGCCATGACTGAGGATATTGGTAAGCCTCCTCCCAAGCAGTATGATTATCTGCTGAAATTCCTTTTGGTGGGTGACAGTGATGTGGGTAAACAAGAAATCCTATCTGATCTTGATGATGGATCTTCAGAGAGCCCCTTCTGTGGTCACAGTGGAAAGTGTAAGTACCTAATAACAATGATTAATCAATATACAACACAGATTTTTTGTAGCATACAAAACAACCACCATTTTACTTGATGGCAAAAGGGTGAAACTACAATTATGGGACACCTCTGGTCAAGGTCGTTTTTGTACCATAATTCGCAGCTATTCTAGGGGAGCACAAGGTACATACCTATGTCATTAAATTTATAGTCAATAATTTTTGTTTATGGAATTCAATGTATAACTTTTCTTAACCAGTTTACAATAATTGATATGGTAATACTATTGTCTGCTTTATATACAACTCCTGTAAGCTATTATTGGACAGATTATTATTCAGTTTCTCAATGATTAGGGTTTGTAGATTCACAAGCAATTCCTTCTTTCATGTAGGTAGGTATCTACCTATTCATTTCCTCATTTTGATTAATAGTACTATAGTATACAATACAATAGTACTACAAATTTGATTTTGAACTGGCTCCTGGCATGGGGTTCATAAAACTTTATTATTAATTCAGTATCTTCTTATAATACTTTCTTCTCAACACAATTATACAGATCTCAACTTGCCCATCATCCTATATAGGTGTTCTCCTTGTATATGATATCACCAACCGATGGTCCTTTGATGGACTGGATCGCTGGTTGAAAGAGGTGGATGAGCATGCTCCTGGGGTGCCCAAAGTGCTTGTAGGCAACCGTTTGCACCTAGCATTCAACAGGAAGGTGGGCCAAAGAGATGCTCAAGTGTATGCTGACAAGCACAGCATGGCCTTTTTTGAAGTGTCCCCCCTATGTAACTTCAACATACATGAGAGCTTCTGTGAGCTCTCCAGAATGGCCTTGAGGAGAAATGGCTTGGAGAGATTGTGGAGGTCCAATAAAGGTAAACAATTTTCTCCATCTAATATATCACAAAATATGTATTTAACAAATAAATTTAATTGCACTGTTGATTGACTTCTAAACATTTTCTATATGGAAATATATTTATTCTCCAAATTGACTAGCACTATGCAAATAGTTTCATTCAAAATATACAGGGCAATTCTAGATGACAATAATCAAAACTAACTGCCCATTTTACTATAAAACATCCCTGGTCCCTTGAGAATGTTTATTGTATTTTTATTATTGAATATCAGGGAGACCAACCCTGCTTAGCAAGATAGTATGTAGTATAACCCAAACATTCACATTGTTTACCTAATAATCTAAGAGCCCATGGGAGGTGGACCTTCACCCATCTGATGGTGCTTCTCATCATTCCAGTATCATTTGGCCCATTATGGTTCAGGACATTTTACACATTTTATTAAATGTGTGGCATGTCGGCTGTATTCACAAATACAAAATTTGTAAGAATACAGGTCTTTTCTATTTCGTTTTTATAAAGAGATGAGGGGCATATTAATTTGATTATAATAGTTATTTTTGTATCTAGTGCAAGAAATGCTACTTTGGTAATGGAGATCACCAAACTATTTCCTGCATGAGTTGCAAACAAGATTTTTTCTACAAACGTCAAGAAATTTAGTTCTAATGCAGTTATATGCTTTGCTTAATATAAAAAATTCTGTTGATCTGGCTCAAAAAGTCTCAATTGTTGTTTAACATTTAGAAATTATCAATTTTTTGGATGTTTGCTGATTGAGGAGCATAAAGGTTATAATACCAAAATCTCATATAACTTGCATACAATGCGCGAAATATGTACTGCACACTGCTTCACTTCGCGCACGGTGTCATGGTAACGCAAGAAACTGAAAAAAAAGTGTCACTTAGCATTGTCGTTTGTAGAAAAATTACCTTTTAATCGAAATCAAGTATTGGCTAGGACAGTGCTGAAAATGTTCGTTCCTGCTGAAGAACGCGTTTAGCATTTAAGGAATACGTATTTTTCGTTTTGTTTCGGGATTTGAAATGGACATCCATAAGATATCCATGGAAGGATTCGCAATGGATATCCTTCAGTAGATATCTTATGGATATCCATAAGATATTCACAACAATTATGAATGAGTTTAAATTGCAAACTTGAAAAGTGAGAAAAAATAACACATCATTCACATATCACAAAACGAAATAGATGTTCTCGAACGTCTACGCTCCGGGAACGATTGATCATGAGAATTGGCCCCTGATGTTGATGGCACAACTCATTAAAGGAAGTAGAAGAAGAAGAGTTAGGTTATGTTCGATTCAACGTTCCCGGTTTTGTTGTCGATTCCATGACCATTATTCCATTCGTATTCGTTCTCGTTGGTGGAGTGTGGAGTGATTTCCTTGCTGTTTAGTGTTTACTGACTATTATTCATTCTAGTTCCGATTCTGTTTTCAGTTTCATTTCAACATTTTCATTATATTGAATGAATATCCTTGAAGGACATCTTATGGATATCCTTGAAAGATATCTTATGGATATCCTTGAAGGATATCTTATGGATGTCCAGGTTGGTACCCTCCGAACATCCATTGGACGTCCATAGTATATCCTTTGGATATAAACTAGACGTCCATAGTATATCCAGATTATCCATAATGGATGTCCGATGGATATCCACAGGATGTCCATGTGTTATCTGGGCGATCTATTATGCGCGCAACGAACTTTCGCGAACGTTCCCCACAGCACGAAGGGAACGTTCCCCCTTCACATCACTAACCCTGTGTACCACCAGGTATAGGTCGTGTGCAAGATCAGCGACCCTGGAGATAAAACAGTGAAACAGAACCTCACTTTTCATATTTGTTTACAAAGGAATCAAAGGATTGAAATAGTTCTTCGCAATATTTTCTCATAAGAATCGTGTTTTTTGGGATATTTACTAATTCAAGCATGCCATCACATTGTGCTGTTGTACCATTAAAAAAAAAATGCAGCCAGACGAAGAAATATGATATTTTCGGTAATTAGTGATCTCACATAGTTTTCATTATGAAATTTCGTTATTGCTCACTAGAATTCCTTCTGGAAGCTGATACTGCTAACTGCTAATAGGGTGGAAATGGCTACAACAAACACGATCATATTTCGTCAGCATGTCAGACCACTCCTCCTGTTGATTGCATGAATCCAATCTTCTGGCCTTCTAACTTGATTCCAATGAGAAATGAAAAAATTTTAAAATGAAAACCATGAGTGGCTATGGTACTTTCAGATCACAATGTACACTCATATTCAGTACATGTCGCGGTTGGAAGGTATGAGCGCTCTCATTGAAGCGGTGATTGAGAGAGCTGACACCGTCCATGTGCGACATGTTCTCTGAAGACCACTGTACCTGCATTTTTTGTGCATTGTACAACAGCACAATGTGATTGCATCCTTGAATTAATGAATAGCCGACAAACACCATTCGTATGCCAAAAAATAATTGTGAAGAACTATTTCAATTCTGTGTAAACAAATAAGAAAAGTGAGGTTGTGTTTCAATGCTTTACCTCCAGGGTCGGTCATCTGACAGATCTTGCACGAAACCCATTCGGAATTTTCGATAGTGCTGAGCCTGCAAGAACTGTGCTGCCGAGCGATCGTGGCGCGGACGACCGTCTACAGCATCGAGCAGCTGCCTCTGCCCACCTGCGTCAAGTCCCATCTGAAATCGTACGCGCTGACCTCTTCGTCCGCCCAATGGCGACACACCATCGGCCAGAAGAAGAGCGCGGGCGGGCGCAAGTTGCGCTTCCCCAGCACGCCCACCACTCCGGGCGGCGCCACCGTCGATTCCCGGACCAGCTGCGTGCCTCGCAACAGTTGCACCGTATCTTGACGCAAGCGCAGAGGGGCTGCTTTGTTTGGGAAGAGGTGTTTTGTTGAAGCGGCTAGCGACACGGGTTCCACTTTGCTTTGAGACTTCCGCATGCGCATAACATTGACCGTGCATGAATATGTTTTGTACATAATTGTGCAACTGCGATAGGCGACTGAATTTCAGATCGCAGTACAAGTTGCCAGTTGTGAACTATATTGTCGAATATTGTTTATTCTCAAGGGATGATTTTGAGCACCATGTATTTTGGAAAGTGTCAGTCAGTGCGACGCAAGAATAATAATCGATTTAAACACTTCAGTTTTGAAAGTCTACATATTTTATTGATTTGGGAGACTGTTCAACACAGAATTGAACATATATGAAGGTACATTGTTTCGAAATGGTTCATATGCTTGTGTGTAATATATAGATTTTTTTGATTGTGATTTGAGCGAAGAAAACAACATTCAATGATTTCAATGTACTTTACACTGGTTACTTGAATATCCGCAAGAGGGCGTATCGCTTAATTTGAATCGCCTATAGTCAAGCGAGCTACGGGCGTGTGTATAGATGGAGAAATGCCTACTATCTTTTTTATTTTTTATGATTTATGTGGAGGCATTCACTGTTGAGGCCGATTCTGGTCACGGTCGGAAATTTTCATTGCTCGAAAGTCTTAGAGCAAAGTGGACTTCGTGTCGCTAGGCGCCTGGGTGTTCCGTCGATTTTTCTGGTTGCGTAATTTATTTTCTCAATCGCGAATTTGATGTCGAAATCGTACTGAAAGCAGCAGCTACCGAGATATTCGAAATACAACCTTGTATGGATGGTTTCAAGAAAGAAGTTGGATCTACAAATCACCAAAAAATACTTGGGATTATTCTTCCTATCATTGCACCACTCCAGATTTGAACGATTTCATGAAATTCTAGTCTTAAATTCTCCATCCAGTTAAAATCGACTAATGAATATCCTGTATGGAAGAGTGATCAATTGTTTAAATTCAACTCTTTCAACTGCTGCTCCCATAAGTGATGAATGTGATGTTTTTAGAAAATGGATTGGACTGAAACTAATCAACTTAATTTATACACCTGTGTATTTGTTGTGGATTGTTTTTCGATTTGTAAAGAAAGTTATCAACTTAAAATTCGTAGTTTTATTTTCAAGAATGAAAAATGTGATGGCCACCTATGGTACATCATAGACATATTTAAGGTGGTCAAAATGAGAAGTCCATATTCAAGAATTGCAGACATTTATTAATTATTGAGGTAATGGAGATGCTTCATGTATAAATCTATCTGAAATATTCAATAGTTGACAGCTCAACCTGGAAACAAAAGAAATATTATTAAATCCACTAACAGTTTAGATGAAAACAAATAAGATCCACATACATAACTTACTTGAGATGGGTGGGAATAATAAATCCACATTACCTTCCAAACTGCTCTTCTAATCAAAATGAATCTTCTGACTTTCCCCTACCGGTTTTCTCACTTCGCTGAAACTGAAGTCGCCATAACGAAAAGTAGAGAATTTCAGTAACAGTTGATTAGTTTATTGTTTTTAGAAAATAAAAAATAGGACTAGGCAAGAGACTATACAATTGATGTGCAATATAATTGATATAATCACGCAAACAGAATTATTTGAAGCTACCATTTGTATTTTACTAACTAAAGAGAATAAATATCGAATCATCATTTGCCTTGTCCTATAATGGTATAATGGTGACCAGACATAATGACCACTACTTACATCACTACATACTTACCAGTTCAATTGCTCTGAAAGATGGTATCCCCAGACCATACAAAGTGTCGTATTTTGATCAGCACCGCCATCACGTTTTCATGTCAATCAAAAAACATTTGAAATCCAATGAGACAGTGCTGTTCAAAAGAAGAAACACTCCCAGAGATTATGTAAAATATCTTGATCTTTTTTCAAAACCCCTTGTTTGTTTTCGTTAGGTTCTAGCTTGAAAGAGTTTTTGTTCGCGGAGATTTTCAATACAACATCTAATCAAAAAGCACCTGAGAAATGTGCTTAGATTAATTGACTAGCTGGTTAATTTTCTGTACAAGGTGATCAATAATTGGCGCTTCATCTATATGTATCTTGAAAAATTGTAAATAATAGAGAACAGCTAGTGGGTTAGCAAACGATCACATGGTATCATTTCTTGAAAATTATTTGAAAAATCTATAAATTGAAAAAATACAGATTCAACCAGGGCTGAGCTGATGAGTATTTATATGGATTAACTATTGTGGATAAAAGAAATGATGATAATTAACCTACTAAATGATCAGAATAAACGGTAGTTTTTTGAGCACAGAATTTAATTTGGCGGTGAATATCATCAAATGTTGTGGGATAATTATTAATTATTTTAAACATAGAACAATGACCACTAGAACATTGAATAGCACATAGTGCTACAAAATTGTCTCCAGGTATTTCTGTCAGATGGTTCATCTAATTTATTTTCTTTAAAGTTACTCACGAAAATGGATATTCAGGGATACCCCTTAGAAGGAGGGGGATAATAAATATCCAATTAATGGAATGTTAGTATATTATTGAAAATCTTCATGTGTCAGAGGGTACCTAAAATGTTCTGATTGCAGAAGTAATTTAGGAGTTGTTTATAAACATAAATAATTTTCTCACATGAATTTTCAGAAGCGTTTGGCAAATAAAGAAGTTAGGCTGAAATATCCTAAAATACCGAGAACTACCCTGCAAAATGCCTCTCATTTCAAAACTGTCTCAGAATTGCAGGAAAACCGATATTCATCATTGTTTTTGAATGTACTATCGGGTCCGGAAATATCGGGATAATTATGAATCACCGTGTATACTTCTGCGGAAAAAATAAAAAAATAAAAAAATTAAAGTGGTATCTACAACTTTTCAAGGATAGAATATATTTGGAGAACCAAATTATTGCTTGTCACCCTGTACAGGAGTGCCACTTAGAGAGCGCAAATTGACGGCACTTTTATTATTTGACGAGAAGAGAGGCTTCAATAGGCCGGGCCGGCGATCGATCGATCTTAAAACTGCAATTTTATTCGATCATCAGCCTTCAGCCGGAACAATTGTGGCAGGCAGCATGAGCTTATGGCTGGCCTGCCTTGCCTTGGACTGCCGACGAGCTGCATGTCCGCACATGGGCAGTCTTCAGCTCGCTCTGTCAACTGTCAAACCGGCAAACCGCAAACCGCAAAACCAGCGCTACAATCTCAGCCGGCCACCGCCCCACTACTGCCCGCTGGCACGCCAACCAAGCAGCGCCTGCTGTGCACACATAAACATTTCGTTAGTAACATCGAATTGTTGGTCGGGGGGGTGCTTGCTTTTTTACATAGGTCGCGTGCACGATGACCGACCCTGGAGGTAAAACACTGAAACAACACAACTTCACTTTTATGTAAAACATTCAGACACAAACTCACTTTTCTCATTTGTTGACAAAGGAATCAAAGGATTGAAATAGTTTTTCACAATATGTTGGCGTATAAATCGTGTTTTTTTGGCCTATTCATTAATTCAAGCATGCCGTCACATTGTGCTGCTGTACTATGCACAAAAAATGAAGCGAGATACGAAGGAATATGATTTTTTAGGTAAATAGTGATCTCACATACAGTTTTCATTATAAAATTTCGTCATTTCTCATTAGAATTCCTTCTGCCACTTCTGCAATAGAGTGAAGCTAATACCACTAATAGAGTAAAATTGTCTACAACACACTACTTCGTCAGCATGTTAGTCCAGTTCTTCCGTTTGATTGCATGAATCCAATCTTATTGCCTTCAGGAGTATTTCTATTAGCTCCTATTGCAGAAGGAATTCCAATGAGGAATGACAATATTTCAAAATGAAAACTATGTGTGACTATAGACCTTCAAATCACAATACTCCCCTACCTGAAAAATCGGATTCCTTCGCCTCTCGCTGCATTTTTTTGTCCATTGTACAACAGCACAATGTGATGACTTGCTTGAATTGATTGATTAATAGCCGAAAAACACGATTTGTATGCCAAAATACTTGTGAAGAACTATATCAATCCTCTAAAAACAAATAAGAAAAGTGAGGTTGTGTTTCAATGCTTTATCTGCAGGGCCGGTCATATGACAGATCTTGCAGGCAACCCATTGTGGCCTACAGTGTCATTCATACAGTCGGCATCATATGGAAAGAAGTTTCAACGATACTTTATTTAGAAATTCGACTTGGGCGTTAAGTTTTGCTTTGAAAAATATGAAAAATTGTCTACTCGGTTGAAGTCACGTGACTTTCGCTACATAACAAGTCACTTTTTTTCAATTATTTTGCTGATAATAGGCTTATTCCAATTTCAAAAGAGTTTACTGAGAGAAGTTGTCTTTATTCCAATTTTGTAACATGTGCCTCGAATTTGAACGTTCAATGACAACTTTTGGTTTTTAATTTTTTTTTCAATTTCTACGAAATGTCTGTTATATTAAAAAAAAATGACACTGACAAAATTATTTCTATGTTATTATGTTCATTGATGCAAAGTTGATGTATCGTTTATCACTCTAAATTTATTCAAATTGATTTTTCCAGTACTAAATTGATAAAATACTTTTACGTATCTAACCAAAGTTTAGGACAGTTTGGTCAAAGTTACAATTAGAATAAATTGGAAAATATAAAGGACTGAAAGTTGCAATAGATCGTTCAAATTCGAGACACATATGTGTGAAATTGGAATATAAACAACTTGTCTCCGTAAACTTTTTTGAAATTACAAAAATGAAGCCTTTTTCAGTGATCAATTTGAAAAAAAATCAACTTTTGATATATAGCGAAAGTCACGTGCCTCCGACCGAGTTGGCCATTTTCCATATTTTTTGAAGCAAAACTCAACGCTCAAGTCAAAGGACACGTTTTATAGGCGAAATTGACATCCTGTCGAATTGGCTGAAATTTTGATGTTATAGTTCAAGGCATTCTGAACAAAATGCCTAAATACCAAATTGATGTAATGGCTGTTTTAGGCGCCAGAGGCCGCTGAAGTTTTAATTTTGATTTCTTTGCTCCTGTAAATAATGCTCTTTGAGCTATTATTATATTATATTTTGATAGGATAAGTCACAACCATAAAATTTATTCGATATTGTTGCTGTTGGTTAAGAATTATACAGTATGTTCCAGCAATTATGGGTAAAATAAAATTTGATACTAATTGATAATTCAACGATTCAATAAAAAACGGATATTTTTACGAGATAAATTGTCGAGCTAAAAAGCAGTAGAAAATAAAAATAGTAGTTTAAAATACTAATGAAACATGATTTTATGGATACCCAAAATGAAAAGGAGTAGAAAACAAAATAATAAAAGTGTGTTGATCACGTTTTTATAAATAGCGTAGTTTGAAAAAATGAAGAGATATAGTGCCGAACTAAAAATAAGTAGGAAATGAATAGAATAATTTGAAAAACTGAGGAATCCTGCTTTTATGGATAGCCAAACTAAAAAGAAGTAGAAATTGAATAAGTTTTTTTGATAAATATGTATCAAAAAATTTTTATCTAGAAATAATGTTTATGGCATAACAACGATTTTCGGGTCAGCTACTATATAATCCGAACATTTTACCTAAGGGGTTCGAAGTTACAAGGAATATTTATCTGGAGATGCTTATGCATAACAACTGATTCCTGCTACTGTTATAGAACAAGTTGATAACGTGAATCTACCGAAAAAAAAATTTGTTACTGAAAGGCGGCACGTAACAATATCCTTTTTTCATTGAATCATTGAATTATCAATTAGTATCATAATTTATCTCGCCCATAATTGCTGGAACATACTGTATAATTCTTGACCAACAGCAACAACATTGAAGAAAACATTTCGTTGTGACTGATCCTATCAAGAAATAATATAATAATATCTCAAAGAGCATTATTTATCAGGAGCAAAGAAATCACGATTGAGACTTCAGCGGCTCTAGCACCACTAGCCATTACATCAATTTGGTATTTGGAAATTTTATTCAGAATGCATTGGACTATAACATATCAAAAATTCAGACAATTCGACAGGAGGCCATTTTCTCCTATAAAACGTGCGGTGTCTTTTGGAAATAAATTATCATCAGAAGTTTTTCCCATATGATGAATAACACTGTATATTTCGGCTTCATTCAGCCGAAACGACAATTTTTCATACACCAGGAAACCATTCATAGTCTACAACCTACAACCCGCTTCACCTCCGATATTGCTCCACTAAGTTGAAACTGGACGTGCATGTTCTTTGAAGTGAAAATCTAACAAACGAATGATGAATATATTGAGGGCTCACTAAAATGCTTTTGTCTGTAAATCCCATAGTAGCGGTAATACTAGCTATTACATTTTCTTGATCAGAAAAAAGTTTAGTCTTTTGAAAATCTCTAGAAAAAAATGCAACGGATTCAGAGATCTAGAAGCAATGATGTGTAACTTGAGCTTCCTAAAACTCAATAACCTAATGTTATTCAGTTTCCAGTTGATGGTGCAAAATTCGAAGTTCAAGCGAACTTTTGCTGGTACAGTTGTAGACTATAAATACTGAATAAAATATCCAATGATCGAATCCGGATACATTCTCACTGCTACAGGCAACAACTGAACTGCCGCAAATATCAGCCCAATAACCATTTGAATCTTATTATCAAATATAAAGAATTTTGTTTGCCAATAATAATGACCATTTTAAACAAGTTGTGGTACATAATTATAGGGAAAGTTGAGTATCAACATAAAGAAACAATGTGTGGATGAAGAAATAACCATTCTTCAGATTATATTTCATTATACTGAAAATTCACACGGATTTTGATAATTCATTCAATTCAAGTACCTACCCAAGTAGTAAGATGAATTCTTCACAAACAAAAAGATTTACACAAAATTCTCAATAACAGGACAAATTTTGCTAATACAAAAGCAATTAATTTATTGCATGAGTATTTCACTTGAAAAAGCTACTGCATTAGCAAAATCTCATCATTTGTGAATATTTTACATTCACTATGGCCGAGTTGACACAAAAAATATGATGTCATAAGAGTTGCAGGATAGGCTGTTAGTTCATAAATGTATGTAAAAACATGGCCTAAATATCTTGATAACCATTCAATCAATATTTTACATGATTTGCAAACCTACTGAGAACACTCCTTGATGGTAAAGTGACCAAACCTTATATTTCACTCCTGATTCATAATATTCAAAATTCAGATACAATCATCCATCAGGCCGACATTTAAACAGGCTGAGAAATTTACCAGTAGCAATGAGGCTCCAGGCTTTAACAAGAACAAAAAATGAAAAATTATCATTTCATGAATACCTACTTAAAATAAAAAATAATAACCATATCTAATGAACTTTTATGACCAAAGGGTACATTACATGAGGACAAGTGAATAGTTTTCACCATCCAAGTCAAATTATTGAAACAGTACATACAAAAACAAACCTTAACCTAAAAAGGAAATCTATATTTTGTAATTTGACATTCTATAATCCATTGTTGTCAAACAACTTCATTCAAAATCCTGAAATAATTTTTGGTGTGTCTATATACCAAACAATGAAATGAATTACTTGCTAAGTTACTAAAAAACTACAATATTGTATTCCTAAAAATTTTGAGGATTCAATCAATGTCAATAAACAAACATATCTGAATTATTTCATGAGAACTTCAGCATCAAGGAGAAACCAAAGGAGCAGCAACATCTTTTTCAAGAAAATAATTGTGAGGACATAATCCACTTTTTTGTTTCAAGACAATATAAAAACAGTCAGGGCCCTTTTACCTGTTAGCCTAAAATAATCAAGGAACACTTGATGTTTATGAGTGAAACAATTCCAAATCTAAAATTCATATGAAATAGCACCTCTGAATTGTGTTTTTATTTCCGGGACATAGAACAAGTTGAAAAACTTGACTTTCAATTGGAAGGCATTTGACCTTGGAAAAAACATTTCACAGGCTACTTTTACAGGTGCTGAAAAATTTTTAACCCATGCCGCCCACAAACTTTAAAATTCTCCTGCAACTAACTGGAGATGCCATCTCAATTTATCTGATTTTTATCAATATTGTTACTCATTATTCTGATTATTGCATGCATCTTTGAAAACATTATTAATTGAAACATAAATTGCATACTGATATTATATGCTGTTAAGTCATTTGGCCCCCCTGTGCCTACAAATTAAAGTTAACATTTAATATCTAGAAAACTCATTGTATTTTATGAAGATTTTCCAAATAAAAGGCAATCAAATAACTAAAAGCTCATTTAGGTCAATGGTGGTATATTTTGATAAATACCTTAGAGGCAGGCCCCTACTTAACTGCACTGCACTCTGCAACTAGAGTTGTCACCTGAAATCAAGTTTACATAGATGTTAATTAAGATGAAAATTGATTAAATTCATCACCAATAAGGCATGAAAAATCATAAGCCTAATATCAAACAAGCTCAACTGTTTAATGATGGATGTTATGGATATTATGCTTTGAAACTTTTGAATATTGTTTTATGTATACTATTCAACATGTTGATATGTGAAAAAATAATTCCAAACATGTCCCAAAAAACCTGATACTATATAAGAACATGAAAAAAAATATATCTACTACCTACCTATGACCTTGATCTAGAACGGGACTTGCTGTTGGAGCGTCTCCTGTCATCATCTGCTGACCTGGATCGGCCCCTGGAGCTCTTGCTACCAGAGCGGGACCGGCTTCTGCTTATAGACCTGCGGTTACGAGACCTTGACCTGCTTCTCTTACCCCTAGAGATCAAATATATATCAGCAAGGAACTCCTAAAATATATTTTATTAAAATAATCACTACCTCCTTCTACCACCACGATATCTGCGTTGTGGTGAAGTGGGCCTTCCATAACGGGCCATTTGTACTCTCAGTTCCCTTCCATCCATCATACGTCCATCCATGGCGTCTAACGCATCTTCAGCGTCTCTCTTGTCATAAAACCTTTTGTAATTTGTGTTACATTGATAAATGATTACTGAATCACATCGATTAGGTACATACCTAACGAAGGCAAAGCCTCTGCTTTCCCTCGTGAATCGGTCTCGAGGAATATAAATATCACCGACCTCGCCACATCTTTCGAAAGCACGTCTAAGATCCTCCACAGTTGTACGGTACGTTAAATTATCAACTTTCAACGACACCATTCCCTCTATACGAGGCGGAGGCCTACCGTAACTCATATTTATTTAGCGATAAACTGAAATAAGCTCTAATACTTTCTTTTCCCAAAAATTCAGCAAGAATGTTCAAGAACGACGCAATCACTCAAAATGGCTGCCTAGCAAAGGGATACAGAGAAAAAGAGGAAGAACAAAGGAAAGGAATGAAAGGCAGTGTTGCCAGCGACAAGCCGTTGAAAAACGCCAATTGTTCATGTCTGTTTACCACTCGTCGCACCGTCAGAACTTTTTCCGCACCCAACAACACCCAACATTTTTTGTCTCAGTTTATCACGTGCATAAGGCAAGAGTGTAGTTTATCTATGATCACGTGTAACGTGTAATTTTAAACAATGAACTCAATTGAGTTCATTGATTTTAAATGATGCATATACATATATGTATACACAGACCATATATCTACTACTCATATATGAAGCATAGCTGTCCTCAAAGCGGGACCAACTTGAATAGGCGTTGATGCCGACGTAGGAAAAAAATAATACGAAACATTAAACCAATATGGCTACGAATTTCAAATTTATAAAAGAGAAAAAAGAGCTTGTGGCTTGTATATACTCTATAGTATTCATACCTCACCAATATGCTATGGACATGGACATTTATCTAAACATTGGGAAATCATCTTAAACATCTCTTGAAAATTTTTTATACAAGTTATTCATAATATTTTGTCTCTGAAAAACAATTTCCCTTGTACAAAAGAGAGATAAAAGCGCGGGACATTGGTATCTGATGGTTTCCTGACAAGCTGCACCTCTTAAAGAATTACCATGTTTGAATTTGAATTCACTCTCAGAGTTCACTGAAAAGAAAAAAATATTTTATCAATAAGCAAAATTCCTAGGCGATATTCTAAAAATAACATGTGTAAATTTATCATATCTCCAATTCACTTTTCTATCATTCTCCAGAGTACTTTTTGTTTGTCTTTGATCTGGATTCTCGAGTAATAGTTATTTATTATAAAAGGGAAAGAATTAGTAGATTTTGTGTAGTAAAATCTAATATTTTTCTTATACACCATTTTTTTCTGTGACAGGAAAAAAAAAGAATCAATATTGAGAAGAAATTACATTACATTGAATTCAGAAAATTATCGACGTGATATTTGAAGTTTTTCATCATCAGGAACGACACCTGTGTTGCAGGCATATCTTTATCGCATTCTTCTGAGGTAATCAAATATCGAGAATTTATCAGTGATTGTTTAGTAATTTACGTCGTGACCGCGTAGTTGAATATGGAAGATAAAAGGACTTTCTCGGAGACGGTGTTATTGGCTTATTTCTCAGAACTATAGCACAACAAAAGCTATCAACAGCTCGATCAACACTATAATATATATGTGATATATATCCGGGTATTTTATGAAAAGTGACATTTTATAACCTGTCAATAACAAAGATGAGATTTCAAATTACTTTCCCGTCAAGAAAAAAATAAAATTAGGGCCAATGAACTCAATAGATTCTTTCAATCTGAACTAATTGAAATATTTCACTAGAACTGAACTTCTTTCGAATGACGTTCATTATGTACAATGCATGTCCACCGATTGTTCAGTTCAAGCAAGTGAAATGTGTCGCTAGTGCAATGAATTCTATATTTATATTGAGTTCATTACGCTAGCGTTTAGAGAGAAACGTATGTATTCCCCATATATGTACTATTTCTATATATGGCTAATCGCCTATATGATATCTCAACAAGAATGGGACCAAAATGAGAGATACTTTCTGAATCTCTAAGGACGGAAAGTGAAGAATGGAAAATTTGAAATAAGTAGCCATATTGTAGTATTATTTTTTACCTACGTCGGCATCAACGCCAATTGGTCGATTTCGTTACATATAGAGACATAAGTTGGTCCCGCTTTGAGGACATCGATGATTCATATATTAGTAGCAGATGGTGGCAGATATAATATGGTCTTTATATGATTTCTGTGGGTCTTCCAAAAAACTGATTTCATCATCATCTTCCTCATCTGTCCTTGTCTTCAGTGTTCCAACATAAAATAATGAAAATTTCAAGTTGGCAACACTGGAAATTAGGAGAAATGGAGACATTTCAAGACGTTCAAGACAAGACATTTCATTTTTTTATATTGTGGTGATCATGATCTTCTCCATTTTTTCCCGTTTCCAAAGTTACCAACATAAAATTTTTATTATTTCACGCATATATCTACTACTCATATATGAAGCATAGCTGTCCTCAAAGCGGGACCAACTTCTGTCTCTATAGGTAACGAAATCGACCAATAGGCGTTGATGCCGACGTAGGGAAGAAATAATACGGAACTTGTCAAACCAAATGGCTGTTTCCATCCTTCACTTTCAGGACAGATTGGGAAGAGATTTTTTTTTCTCTCTCAACGCTAGCTGAACGTTTATTGATGCACTTCCACCAGCTGGCGCTACATAAACACATGATCGAGGTCAATGTCAGTCAAAAATTCCAAAATTTTGCAATAACATAGCCCTAAATTTTTTACTGTCAATGTGGAACTTTACGACTTTTACGACCAATTCTTACTTGACGGAGAAGAAGATATAGCAAACGTCCAAATAACACGACAATATAAGAAGTCAGCGTAAGAAGTATATTTATCTTATCAGTTCTACCAATCCTGACGTCCGTTTCCGTAGCGCGGTTTGGTGGACAATAAAATAATAATGTTATGCCTCATTGTAAACAACACTGAAAATATTACTTACAGCAGTATAATCCAGAGAATAAACATGTCCTATGGGTTGAATAGATGAAGTATGAATCTTTTTTTGAGGATGCTTTCACCTCAAAATGGGCCACTGCATGATTAAACAAATAAGGCCAATGAGACAAATTTTCTGAATACTCTGTAGAATACTTCCAATGGCTGTAATTTCCACTTTCAGATAATATACTGAAATCAATCCTGGAAATAAGATCACTTGAACATAGGCACGATAGGCACTGGTTTTGAGAGGCATATATATGGCCTCTTGTCCTCTTGAAGGTATATATAGGTATAACTCTGAATTAAAATTATTTCAAGTGGTTTTGGTGCATATATAGAGATATTCAACAAAAAACAATTCAATCAATGAATGCTTAGGTATTGTATTCCTCGATCATAATTCTAAATACTCACATGGTTGGGTTTAGATATTTCATATTACTGAAATCTGCAACAAATTCCCATGGCTCATTAGGATGAACGTTTGGTAAGAATAAATATGATCTGTGTTCATAAATCTGTGTTCTGATAGTTACAAACAATATAAGTATTGTTGTTACAAACCCACCAATGCGGTATTTCTGCCATTGTAACCTAGGCATTTCTTTGATCAATTCAATGAACAGACTAGCCAGTGAATATCTAAAAATAACATGAGATACGATTTTATCCTGGTGTGGATACAATGCACAATTATTATGGCCGACAAAACCATCTTAAACCAACTGAATTCAAATGATATAAAGGTTGAAACTATTGAAACCTACCACTGTCAATATATGTTAATTTGCACAAGTGATGACTATTTCATGAGATGTTTTATTAATGAAGATATATGTCCCATTTTTTATCTTTTCAACTAATAAAGCGGAAACTGTTTATCTCTGACTACAGTGGACTGCGGTGTCTGCTGTCCATTATTATATTGACTATACTGAAAACTAAACTGGACCATATCATTTGGATTGATGGTTGGAGATAATAAATATGCACAATTGCACATTTAGGGCATGCTAATGAATTTATTTCAAATCATTTGTTCATGAATTCATGATCTAGAATTTATTCATTATATTCCAGTGGTCCTTTAGGGTGTGTAGGGGTATCATGTAGGGATAGAGATTATTGGATATTCCAGAATTGTAGGGATTTTGTCGTTTTGAGTGAATTTTTCTAAGACCATTCAATTTTTTATTTAAAAGACCCACTAAATTATCTATTTTAAATTTTTTTAACCAAATCTGATTCCAGAATATTTGAAGTTTTATATATATTCGAGCAAACTCAGAAATATTTATTCAATATCACTGAAAAATTAGAATGTGCCAAATAAAAATAAGGTTCATTTGATTTCAAGTGACTTGACGTCACGGTTTACTCATCAAGCTTGACAGACGTCAGTTTATCAGCGGTTTTTGTTTATTGTTTGGTATAATACTAATACATCGAGTAATAGTAATACATTGATTGAGAAACTCATCATCTGTAACAAAAATATACCATAGAGGAACTATAGGTAGGTACTAACCTACTTTAAATTCAAGAAAATTATTGGAACAATTCGTAACGTAAATATTTACAATTAATAAAATATTCATTTTCATTAATAATATGAAGCGAACTCTCATTGAAAAATACTTCGTATGAATCCATAATTATTTCTTTGAGAAGTATAATTTTTTTTTTCTACTCACATGCCTAAATTGGCATTTAGCGTACGGATATGTACCACGCTAAACGATCGATTAATCACGGATTGTCGATCTGTGATTTATTCAGAATATTAAACACGTTACCATGGCAACACGATTTCTTAAACACATTACCATTGCAACACAGTTCATTAACATTAAACACAGGTTCAGTAATTTGAGACATGTCTGGCCTGTCAATTGTATTAACTGTCAACTGTTATTTTCAAATTTTGTATCAGAATTATTCAAACAATATTCGTTTGTACCGAGATTGTACACTTAGCCTGCATCAGTTTCACGATGTTCTCCGAACATTACAGAATATCCATTTTCGTGGGAACCAGAACACTAAAAGAAAAAGACACCAATGTCAACATATCACGTGATAGGAATGGTTCAAATGATTTAGGCATTTCTGGTTTGCGCAGCGTACATCATAGAAATCATATTATATATACTGACGTTTGCGTGGAAAAATAGCTGTCTAGCTATGATTGCGATTGGTCCAATTCAATGAACTCAAGGTGTTTATATTGAGTTCATTGGTCCAAAGTCACAGTGAATCACGTGATACATTGGACGCATGCGCATTCGCTCGTAGAAAAACAACCTATTAACGAAACTCTCGGGGTCTCAAGAGGAAGGAAAAACATCCTTGAAACTTGAAAGCTAACACAAACATAGATTAACGGGGAGTCGTTAATCTATGACACAAATGATTACAGTGGAATGACGCCATGCTATAAGAAGACCAGAAGAAAACTCCTTGGCCAAAACTCAGCTTCCACAATGAAAAATAATCATAAAAAAACACGAATCTCAGATGATGGGAATGGTTCGAAAGATTTAGGCATTTCTCTCTGTAGCCGTGACCGGGCTTCCGTCAACAAAACCATAACCCATAACTATGCCAACCAATAATCAATGCCTGCAACGCAAACTACGGCAGATCCAAGTGCCCAAGTTCTGTGAGGCAATATGAAATATGACGATAATGCGTCCTCGATCTGTGAGGCAACCGGCTGGGTAGGCGGCAAGAAGCAAGCAATGAACTCAATACAACGAAGCAAGGACCATACACTCGGACAAGAAGCTCGTTTATCAATTTTGGAAGACTTGTCTTGGTTGTCATTTGTCAATAATTAATTGTTCAGATTTGATTTACAATGATTATACGCCTGTTCGTTTATGTCTTCTTCACTTGCTGAACTTGATTGTTTCTATGACTTTCTCTGTTTACATCATGCCATGAATAGAGACAACTACTATGGGTACTGAATCAACTTCAGCTATTGGCAAGTTCAGCAACACAAATGAATAAACCTCAGTCAAAGAATATAGGTTAGTCTCCTCTTTGCCTCAGTCTCAGTAATCTTATTAGTTTTTCAGCATGATAATAAATCAGTTGAGTTTAGTATGAGTTTATAAATCTACCACACATCTACTTGTGAGAGCAAAGTTCCATTGTACAGTCACAGTATATTATCCTTTCATGAGAATTTTGAGAATACAGTACAGTACATTGAAAATAAAATGATTGCAGCAGGACTCTGGAGAATTCTCAAAACTCCTATAGTATGTGTAATGATTACTGTTATTCTTTGGAAATATTTGCATACCATATGTTATTGTTTTTTTGATAAAATTTCAGCCCAAGGAACTCTGCAATGTGAAATATAGTTCCACCTACTCAGAAATTACAAAGGTCCAGTTTATAAATGGAATTAAAAGTATAAAATTGCATGATCAAAAGACCAGGTGGAAAACTAGGAATATTAATAGGTGAAAAATTATTTTGAATCTTTCTTTTTTGTAGAAACTCCTTATCCATCATCATGATGGAAGATCTTATAAGACACATCAACAGTGATGGAAACAATAAAAACCTGAGAGTCATTGTGTTGTCTGCTGATGGAAACATTTTTTCTGCTGGACACAATCTGAAAGAACTTGTATGTTAGTGCATGGTGTAGATGGAGTCATTCATTGGGATGGGCTGGGAAAATTCATACTTTTTGAAAATCAACTAAGTATCTTGGTGTCGCGTCAATTGGACGTGGAAAATTGGACGCACGACTATTGGTCGCAGTCAATTGGACGCGGCGACAATTGGACGCGGCGACAATTGGACGCGGCGACAATTGGACGCGGCGACAATTTGACGCGGCGACAATTGGACGCATGCGTAAATAAAAATAATTTTATAATTCCAATGAAATTCATTGTATAAAATATGAAATACTGATGGGCTTATATCCATAATTATAACAAATACCTATGGCCTCGTTTGACAATTATTTTCCTATCTCATATCGTAATATGAATTTACGATAGGAATATAGTACAATATTTTAGGTTAGTTAGGTTAGGTATTTGTTATATTATAGATATGAGCCCTGCATATTCCATGCAATAAATTTCATTGGAATTATAAAATTATTTTTATTTTCGCATGCGCTCAATTGTCGCCGCGTCCAATTTTCGTCGCGTCCAATTGTCGCCGCGTCCAATTATCCGCGTCCAATTTTCGTGCGTCCAATTGACCACGTCCAATTGTCGGTAATCCAAGTATCTTGTTGATAATTCAACATTCATATGCTTGTGAGAATATTCATAACAAAGTAACAAACATACCAAGAGTAACTAATAAATATGTATTTGATAATCATCTTTCAGACTCTAGAAGCTGGGAAAGCACAGCAAGAAAAGGTTTTCCAACTGGCCACACATCTAATGCACAGCATTATCAATTGCCCTGTTCCTGTGATAGCTCAGGTCAATGGATTGGCAGCTGCTGCAGGTTGTCAATTGGTTGCACAATGTGATATTGCCATATGTACTGAAAACAGTTCATTTTCTACCCCTGGGTAAAAATTAGTAGCTAGTAAGCAATACATTAATCAAATTAATTCTGAAATATTTCTGGAATACTGAAAATATACAAATATTTAACAGGTTCATACAAAATATAAGTACACATTATCCATTAGTGTGATTTTTGATTTTTAACTTCAGTTGTTTGGATGAAAATCTAATGGATAATTATTATTGTTTATCCATCAGAAGCATTTATCAACTTATTATGCTGGCTAGTGTGATATGTTGTATCAAAATGAAATCAATTAATGTTTCAGCTCCAACTTTGGAATATTTTGTTCTACTCCAGGAGTTCCTATGGCTAGGAAAGTGCTCAGATCTACATCCTTGAACATGCTCTTGACAGGACTGCCTATATCAGCCTCAGAAGCCAAATCTAGTGGTTTGGTCACCACTGTCTGTCTTGCTGAAGATCTTGATATGGAAGTGAACAAGACCTGTGAGGCCATCAAATCCAAAAGCCGATCTGTCATAGAATTAGGTGAGAAGCATCAAATTATGGTCGTCTCAGATAATGTCAATCTTGTTTATGCAGAGAATATAAAAACAATATTATTCCATGAGTCAATGATACAAAAGAATTGGAACATAATTGCACAATGCACTATTCAATTTTAGGTAAAAAGTTTTTCTATGAGCAAATCGATATGGATATCAAGAAAGCATATTATCTTGGAGCAGCCAAGATGTTGGAGAATTTGGGAATGGAAGATGGACAGGAAGGAATCAAAAGTTTTGTAGAAAAAAGAAAACCAAAATGGTCACATGGGAATTATTAATTCCATTGCATATAATTATCTAATGATTGAAACAGTCAACTAATGCATTATTTTACTGGTGCTATTTCTTGATTTATTGATTCTAGTACACTAGTGAAACTCATAATGAGTTTCATAATGTAATTTTTTGGTTCCCAGTAAAATTAAAATTTCTGAAAAATATGAAAGCAACAAATTTTTTTCCAATAATAATTAAATAGATGAATCCAACAAAAGGTATCAGAATGGCAAACAGAATCTAACAAGAAAATATGTTTTATTAGCAGAACATTGTATTTTATTGTATTTTTTTGAGTATACATTATGAGAAAAAAATGTAAACTAACCTGTTGGTTTCCCATTAGCACAACACATGAATATTGCAAAAATGTTTGTTTCCTCTAATTTTCATTTCTTTCCTAAGGCCTTCCTAACTTGGGCAGTTTTCTCTTTAGCAGCAGTTTCTTTTTCTGGAATTATTTTCTGTTAGTAATTTTATCCTTGCAGATCAATATACAGGATATTTTTCTATATATTAATCATATAAAAATCTATATATTTTGAAAAACTAATGAAACACACTTTCATGGATAGCTAAACTAGAAAATATAGTAGGAAATAATTAGTAGTTTAAAAAACTACAGAGATAGATTACCAAACTGAAAACATGCTTTTATGGTAAGTCAAACCAAAAAGAAGTAAAAAATAAAATAATGAAAGTGTTGGTGGATATTTAACTGAAATAATGTATAGGTATAGCAAAACAACATTTGCTAGGTCAGTTAGTATGAGATAATTATTGGCACAGAGTAATGTAGCTCAGGCTAGGAGACCTGAAAACAAATTTCTAATTGATAGAATATGAATATGAATGTTCATGACTAGTTCATGAAAATTAAGAGAAATTATATTCATTCTAGGAATTGAAGTTTGACCATGGAAGTGAGATATATGAATGATGGGAACAAATAATTAGCAGAGAACTGGTGATACCTCTGACAGAATGGTTGTGGGAATTCAAATGAGTCTAATAACATGATAAAAACATTCTACCATGAACAGAGGTAATCAACTAATAAGGCCACAATATGTAGCAAAAAAAATTTAAAATGGAAGAAAATACATCAAATCAGTTCATTGATTCACCCATCAAACTGAATTGATGATTTATATGGATATAACCATTATCAGCTCCAAATTATTAACTTAAAATCAATTTATGTTCATCCAAATTTACCTTTCTGTTCGACTTCCCTTCTCTTTTTGGCATCCTCTCTTTGCTGCTTGATAATAGCCAACCTGGCCAAGTCTGCCCTGGCCTGATCTGTCTTTCCTTCGGCATGTAATTTTTGATAGTGAGCCTGAGCCCTTTGCTTTTCAATCTCCTCCCTTTCTCTCCTTGACAGTTGTGGCTTGTTGTCAAGATCTGCTGTGTCCAATGCAGAAACTTTCTTTGCTTTTTTTTGTACCCTATTTGGATTCTCTATTTCAATGAGTTTTGAAACTCCTTTCCCTTTAGCCTATAATAACCAATCTATTTTTCAATACCCAACTGCAGATCAGATACTTTGAGATTTGCTTTAGAGCAAGAATTATACTTACATCTTCATCTTCACTGCTTTCTTCTGATTCACTTCCTGATCCAGATTCTTCACTAATCTTCTTCTCTGCAGCAGCTTCTTCCTCAGATTCTTCACTTTCACCATGTGTTTGCCTCCATTTTTTCTGTTGTTCTTCTTTTCTCCTTTCTTCCTCCAATTCTTCTGGATTCGTGAATCGTCGATTGCGACCCTTATGGTTGGTGAATTTTCCTAAAAATGTGGTATAATTTTATAATAGCAGAATATACCCTGGTAGACCACAGGATTATTGCTTAGATGGAAAATTTACCTCGGGGCATTTCAGAAGAAAATTGATCCCTTTATCTACAATTTTCTATAAATCTTGTTTTCACTAGCAATTAAACTTTTGAAGCAAATAAACGCCGAAATTTTAATATTTACTACTTTTTCTACTTTATTTCAACTCCTTTCCAGTTGTTTCTTGTTTCGTTGTTTCCACTTTGCCAGTGTTGCCGTTTTCAATTAGTACTAGAACTCATTCCGAAATTGTACTGAATTCATAGCACGTCACTCCACTTGACGGCAGAAACTTGAACACTTCTGAGCGGTTTGTTTTGATGATGTAACCATGGATGTAACCAATAAGCACAAACGAAAAACAATTTTCTATCGCGACAAGTTAATAGACCTTGGGTTTGGGTGATGTGCACGCTGTAAGTCAAAAGGCGAAAAGCCAGCATGTGAACGCGCCATGATTCAGCTCCTCGCCACAGAACTAAAGAGAACAGAAAGCGCCACTGACTTTCCTGCACGGTGTCAATTGTCAGTCTTCAATCAGACTTCAATCTTTCAATTTTCAATCCATCAATCAAAAATGAAATAATCAAAAATCAAAAGTTCAACAGATCAACACCACCACTGTCCAAGTGTCCACGATCACAGCCGCAAGCAATCAGACATACAAAAAATATCAACACAAAGCAACGACGACACTAGGAATCTTCAATATCAAATAATATACCTTGGCAGTCGGTATACTCACTAACCTACCTTAGCAATCATCTGTGTTGGTGTTGAAAGAGGTATGTATTGTGTTCATGTTCATAATATGTATTATGTTGACATGTTCGAGGAGTTCATAATAACCTAAGTGATTTTTCAATTTTTCATTTTATAGAAAATGGCAAATCTAAGGCAAACTCCTTTAACGTGTAGTGGCCATACAAGACCTGTAGTTCATTTAGATTTCAGCGACGTTACAGATAGTGGATATTACTTGATTTCAGCATGTAAAGGTAAGGTATATTTCTTGTAACCTCCAGCCAAACCTTGGCCTGATTTTGTTCAATAAAAATTAGTTCTTGATATATAAAAAAGTGTGTGCCATTGAAGGTTGTCTTCAATGATCTTCCTGTTTGTACAAATATAAGAAATTGAAGTTATTGAAGGTCTTCAAATAAAAATAATGTATTCATTATTTTTCATCATTTGTATTTACAAAGGAACTTCGATTTTTTAATCTTCATCAATACCAGTATAAACCAAACTGTGTTATTTTTCTATTTTATATTTATTATAGGGTGTTTTGCTTTAATTGTGATTTTTTCAAAATATGTTTCCATATTTTGATTATTTTGATAAATTGGGGTATTTTCTATCTTGAACAAGAAAGAGGAAAGTTCTCTCCCCTTCCATCTTTCTCTTCAATTATACCAACATAGCTGCATTGAAATATAGAGTGGTCCGATAGTTCTGACCTTGTCTAACATCTAGTTTGTGCCACTGAACTATTTTTAACTCAGCAGAGTTATGTCAAAATAAGAATGATATAATTCGAAATTTCATTTAAAAAATTCAAAAGGTTATCAGTTAATGACATGATGACATAGACATGTCACATCATTATAACATCCAAAGTAGTTCAGTGGCGCAGAATAGACATTAGACAAGGAAAGATTTATCGGCTCTCTCTATATTTCAATGCGGCTACGTTGGTAGCACTGAAGAGAAAGATGGAAGAGGTGAGAACTTTCCTCTCTCTCGTTCAAGGTAGAAAAGAGCTTGATGATTTCAGATGGCAAACCTATGCTGCGGCAGGGCGACACTGGTGACTGGATAGGAACATTTGAGGGCCACAAGGGGGCAGTATGGGGCGTCGCTTTGGATGCGGGGGCCACACGTGCCGCCAGTGGTGCAGCTGATTTCACTGGCAAGGTGAGGTAGTTGATGTACTTTTTTTTTATCGCTTGGAGCGCACGAAAGGGAATCCCTAGGACAGGAGGTAGGTATTGGAATTTTTTTTGAACTTTTGGAGATTATAATATGTGTTATTCCAATTTGAGGTAATTTTGCACTTATCATGCAATGGTTTTTTTTTCGAAATTTTGTTTTGGTACTTACGTATTTTTGTCTGAAAAACACGAATTTGATAATGAAAATGTGAACAAACCATTATTTATTAAGATATTTCACTATAAAGATACAGATTCCACCTTCTTTTCCACCTGTCTTCTGGATCGCATTTAGAACAATTTGCCTTTTTTCCATCATTGGATCATTTATATGTATCACACAATGTTGGACACATTTTTTTTATTATATGAGTCATCTAGAAATGTGATTTTCTTGTGATTTATCCAAGTTTAGTGAAAAGAAAGAAGGAAGAATATCATTTAAAATAATGGTATGTGTAATGTCATTCCAAAGCAATCCATTGACATTTGACATTTTGTATTTGGATTAAATGGCCATCATCTGGTATGCTTGCTCACTAAATAGGAAAAACTCACCATACAAATCATATTTCCTGTTGAATTTTCTATCTTTAAATGTGTCCTTGAAGTACATCATTAGTATATAAAGTGTCCAATGAAAAAATAAAAAGAGCTAGTACCAGTAAATGCATCCAACACAAGGGGGGAAAAAAAGGCAAAATTTCGAACTTTTTCTTGAAATATCTGGTTAAATAGTGGCTTGTTCACATTTTCATTATCAAATTCGTGTTTTTCAGACAAAAATAAGTAAGTACCAAAAAAAATTTTCGAAAAAAAAACCATCCCATGATAAGTGCAAAATTACCAATACTTTGTGTCCAATTTTGACAATTTTTTTGAGAAAGTTTCAATTCTAGCATTGAAATGATATTTTATTGGTGTGAAAACCGATTTCATATATGGAACCCTATAAATAAAGATGGATTATTCACCAAAATCCTTCTACTCATGTCTTCAATAATAATTAAGTGATGGATGGAATTCAATCTCTCATTTCTTTCCTGATCTTCAATATTCCATCAATAAGCATCAAATTGATTATTTATTTTCATAAAAAGATATTTGATGAGTTTGTGCAGCATATTCACTAAACACCCTGTAGTTCTTGAAGAATAAAATGTATTTCTGTTGTCGAATTGAAAAGTAACATCCATAGACTAAATAAAGAGTATACTAATCCAGTTTTTTTTTTCAGGTGTGGGATGCTGTGAGTGGTGAGGAGCTGCGCTCTTTCCAGCATGGCCACATCGTGAAAAGCGTTCAGTTCTCCAAAGACTCCCGCCTTCTGGCCACCGGCAGTAACGAGAAACTCGTCAGAGTTTTCGATCTCAACAAGCCAGATGCCAGTGAGTAATCTGAATTTCAATTTCCCTCAATTCATTTTTGACCCATGACAGTCCATTGCAATTTTTCATTACAGGGCAATGATCTTACTGTGTCTCTGTTTGCAGGTCCAGAAGTCTTCAGCGGCCATACAGCTGGAATTCGTCATGTTTTGTTCTTCAGAAATGATACCCATCTGGTTTCTTGTGCTGATGATAAATCATTGAGAGTATGGGATAGATCTACTAGAACAGTAAGTCACGAGTTGGGATTTTATATTTTCAGTAGGTAATGCGTCATTTGAGACATAAGGTCAGGATTTAATATTTTCAGTAGGTAATGCGTCATTTGAGACATGAGGTCGGGTCTTTGAAAGAAAGGTGTAGGCGTGTGTGAGAAGGGGAGTGTATAGAGGTCAACAAATTGTCGTTTTCTGAAGACATCTGATGGTGAAGAATTCCAAGGGGTTTTGATTATGACTGCAGATAGGTGTATGAAAGCTTGACAGGTTTGATGATTAAGCAATTTTTAAACATCAATCTCATGGAAGTGGAGATGGAGATACAAAAATATCAAACTAGTAGATTGATTATTTTGCCTTTTTCTTCACTTCAATCCACTCAAATGAAAATACGTTTCAAAAAGAGATAAGTCCTTATTGGCTGAAGGTCTCAGGTCAATGGCCACTTGATTGTATTGTATAAATTTTTTGTTTCCATGGACAATATTCGAATTAAGTAGACTTCAATGATACGATTTTGTTTGCAGGAGATACAAAGGATTGACTTCAGTGCAAACCCTAACAGCTTGGAGGTGTCCAAAGATGGATCTGTCCTTACAGTAGCTAATTCCACCCACGTCACTTTTCTCGATGCTGAAACCCTAACCAAAATCCGAGAATTTTCTTTACCCACCACCGTGAATTCCGCCTCCCTCCACCCTGACAAGAGCATATTTGTAGCGGGAGGAGACGATCTTAAGGTTTACAAGTTTGACTACACCACAGGGACAGAAATCGAGTCCTTCAAAGGTCACTTTGGCCCCTTGCACTGTGTGAAGTTCTCTCCAGGTGAGTAATTCATTTGAAATAATTTAAAAGTGAAAAAAAACTTTTTAATAAAAAGCTCTTATTTAAACGCTCTACAAAGAAGAAAATAACATTTTTCTTGATAATTTTAACTATCAACTTATAACCTCATTATACACAATTTATATGATCATAAAAGTTTGTGGCGCGATTCACTTGTGTGAATGAACTAGTACTCATTTAATTATGTAAAATCTGCTGAGATGAAATTTTTAAAATTACAATTTAATTAAATATTGATCATCGGGACAAGCTTTTATGATCATATAAATTGTGTATAATGAGGTTATAAGTTGATAGTTGAAATTATAAGGGAAAATTTCATTTTCTTCTTTTTAGAGCGTTTAAATAAAAGCTTTTTATTAAAATTTTTTTTTTACTTTTAATTAATTTTTTAATTTTTAGTTATCGCTAGCTGGATTTTTCGATTTACTCTCAACGAGCCTTTTTATTTGATACCCATATTGTAGAAGTATATTGAAAATGAGCATTCCGCCATCTTGGATGGTCCGCCATAATGGATTTAGAATGACGTCACATCATTTTTCGAGTTACTCTCAACGAGCCTTTTCATTTGATACCCATATTGTAAAAGTATATCAAAAATAGCCATTCCGCTATCTTGGATGGTCCGCCATATTGGATTTAGAATAACGTCACATTATTTTTCGAATTACTCTCAACGAGCCCTTTCATTTGATACCCATATTGAAGCTGATTAATAGGATTGAAAAATTTAAAAGAGAATTCAAGAAACATCTACTCCTGTAATATTGACATCTTATCTCATTTTCATAGTTTTCTTGTACAACTACTATAGTTTTCAATTGTGTACCTAACAGCTGAGTCAATTGAGGATCATATTCATTTGAACTTGAAAAAAAAAAGATTCTTTTTGAGTGTGAGTCTTATTTTACTGTCTTCTTTATTTTATTTTGTCAAATATATTTATGTATTCACTATGTTCCCTGCTATAAACAAATGTTGTTTCTTGGGAATAATAAAGTTGATTGATTGATTGATTGATTTCGCCATCTTGGATGGTCCGCCATATTCGATTTAGAATGACGTCACATCATTTTTCGAGTTACTCCCAACGAGCCTTTTCATTTGATACCCATATTGTAAAAGTATATCAAACATAGCTATTCCGCCATCTTGGATAGTCCGCCATATTGGATTTAGAATAACGTCACATTATTTTTCGAATTACTCTCAACGAGCCCTTTCATTTGATACCCATATTGTAGAAGTAGATTAAAAATGACCATTTCGCCATCTTGGATGGTCCGCCATATTCGATTTAGAATGACGTCACATCATTTTTCGAGTTACTCTCAACGAGCCTTTTCATTTGATACCCATATTGTAAAAATCAAACATAGCTATTCCGCCATCTTGGATAGTCCGCCATATTGGATTTAGAATAACGTGACGGTTGAAGATTTCTACTTCAAAATTGAGTTCAAAGATTCCATCCGAACATACATACATCCATACAAATAAAAACTTTTGAAATAATAAAAAATCAAACTAAGCCTGCCTCACAAATATGTTGTATTCCAATTTATCTGAAACCCCGTTAAATTATAACAACATTCGCCACTACAAAACTTCCTTCAGATAATAATTTATGATCTAGGTAATCTAGGGAGATAATAATTTTTTTTGTTTCAGATGGTGAGTTGTACGCTTCCGGATCAGAAGACGGCACTCTCAGACTATGGCAAACTACTGTCGGCAAGACGTATGGCTTGTGGAAGTGCGTTGACGCCCAAATAATGAATGATCCATTGTCTCCTCCTAAGGAAGTCCAGGCTAACTGATTGATATTTGGCGGCTGTGATGAGTGCTTGAAGAGCGGGTTGCTTCAAATTGTCAAAACTTATTCAGAATTTTGCTACTATATACTTTCTGGTCTGAATTGGAATTTTCAAGTATCCTTATATTTTCTATAAAATTCTGTTCACCATCATTTTTATTTGAGACATTGTATTCTGTAGATGTGCATGGATTATACACTTATCTTTATTAAATATTTAATATTTATTTATTTATTTATTTAGTGAACTAAAAGTTGATCATAATAAATTTTCCATGTGTAATGCATTGTTTTGCATCTACTCAATGCAACGTTTTAATATTGATGTAGGTACAAAAAAGGACGCTACTCAAAATAACCAACATTTGCTTGGAACAACTTGAACTGAAACAATTAATGAGGTAGTTATGCCGATTTATTATATTTGATTCAGCTATTTTTTAGGAATAAATTTACCTCTGGAATGATTTCATAATTTGAAAATATGTCATCGAAAAATTGAAATTTCACTTTTGGGGTTTTCAAAACATTTTTATCATTATGTGAAACGAGATAGGTGAAAGATTTTCCATTTGTGACCTCATGTTAAATAAATTATTTATGATATAAATGATGTGACCCAAATTCCCAATTGATTATATCTACTACCCAATCAGCCAAAGTACGTCTTAAAGGCGACTTTAAGACGTACATGTCGATACATAAGTACGTCTTAAAGACGTACATATTACGCCCAAGAGACGTCTTTAAGACGTCTTTAAAACGTACATTTTCCACTAATGTGTACGTCTTTAAGACGTCTTTTTTAGGTGTTTTTGGTCCATGACCTCAAATTGATCTTTCAAATTACGGAAAAATCACATAGTTTCAGTTAATTTTCACCTGTGCACTGAAGTTAGCAACAAGTGCAGACAAGCAAAAAAAAGGGAAATAAACGACTTCATCAAACGGTAGACACAAGCGGTCACCCATTCAAGTACTAACCGCGCTCTTTGTTGCTTGACTTCGATGATTATACCATACTCACTTCTTCTGTTACTCTGTTTGTTCTATATATCACATAACAAGCTCTTGTGTCTGTTTGTAATCAAAACGTGCAATTTAAATTTGACTCACTTTAAATCGTCCAATTGATTTGAAATTTGGCAAGTAAATATTATTCCGGTGACATTTCGTTGTGATATTATTATTGAATGGAAAAAACAGAATGGCGGATCCAATATGGCGGACGATTTTCTCATTGATTATGTTCCGATTCGAATCAAAATTCAATATTCAAGATGGTGAACCAATGTGGCATATGGTTTTCTGATTATGGTCTGATCTGATTCAAAATTGGCATCTGAAGGATTTCGGGATCAGAGATTATAATTCCTTTTGTCGAAAATGAAAAATCCAAGATGTCGGCTTCAGAATGGCGGACGAGTTTTGTGATTATAGTCCGATTTTATTCAAAATTGATTACTATGGGACTTTTGGGGTCGGAGAATATGATTTTTTTGTAAAAATTCGAGAATCTAACACGAAGGCTCCAAAATGTCGGACGAAAAAATTCAAAAACATCACTTTTGTTGAAAATAAGAAAAAACCGAGGAAAAAACTGAACAATTGAAAATAAAAACGTGAAGAGATGACATTTTGTTTTTCTTCAGAAAATAACTTACATTATTGTTCTATAAGTCGAATTGATCGACGTACTGGAATGTACGTCTTTAAGACGTCTTTTATACGACATGGGAGGAACGACGTGGATACGACCTAAAATGTACGTCTTAAAGACGTAAATTATATATCGGCGCCTCGTCCGCAGAGATCACTTTGGTAGTATCGCTCGGCGATGCACTAAGGTCACGTATTATTAAAGAAGAAGAAGAAGAAAAGTTTTCTGTTGTTCTATGTTCCAACCTCTTCCCATTCCCCACTTCATTACGCTTTTACGTGTGCTAGGGTCACGACGCTTCCTGCGAAACAGGTAAAAAATTTATATTTCCAAAACTAACGAAACTCTTCATTTCAGATATCAGGATGAAAAAGGATAAGAGAAAACGTTCCAGGTCCAGGGATCGATCTAGATCCTTGGAAAAAAGGATTAAGAGATTGGAAAAGGCTCTGAAAGAGAGAGACCGCCATGTTGGCGGTAAAAGACCTAACTCGACTCTCAGGGAGACGCGTAGTCCCCACAAAACTTCCGCGAAAGCACGCCGCTCTCGTTCTAGATGCCCCTCACCAACCAGAGCAAAGAGTTCTGACAGAAATTTTAGTCCTCCCAGAGCAAGTAGTTCTGGGATGTTCACCAGCCCATCTAGAGCATGTAGCTCTAATAGATCCACTGGAACATTAAATACAATAAATGAAATCTCTGATTCACCAGACTCAGATGAAATCAGCATTGAAGAACCCACGTTGGGTTCGATGAATTCACCAAAAACTAATAATGAAAATGAATCACCTTCAACCCATTCTCCAGATGCAAACCTGGATGAAGAAACAATTAAATGTCTTGGTGAAGACCCTGCAAAAACGGATAAGAATGTCATACATCTACACACAGCAGTAATCACTAGATGGGAACATATACTAAGTTCAGGACTGGGTAAAGAAACTCATGCAGAACTAACTGAAAAGTACCCTTTTCCATCAAATGGTGGAAGACTGAAAGCTCCTCTGTTGAATGCAGAGGCAGCCCTGGTCCTTAACGAACAAGGATCTAAAAAGGACAAGAGGTTAAGCCTGGCTCAGGACAACCTAGGAAGAGGCATCAGTGCTATTGGCACTGCGTTAAATATCATTCTGAAGGAAGAACCCTCAGAATTGAGAAATAAGATCCTAACTCCACTGAGTGATGCAGGTAGAATCCTGTCTGATGTCCACTATGGACTATCCTTAGACAGACGAGCAAATGTAAACTTTTTCCTGTCAAAGCCAGCAAAGGATATAGTATACAATAGCCAAGTAGATGAGTATCTTCTGGGCAAGAATTTTGGAGAAAAATATAAAGATGCAAAGATCCTAGAAAAATCAAGCAATGAACTGAGAGCATTACAGCCTAATAGCTCCGCCAATGTCAGGAAATATAGATCAAACTCAGGGTCAAAGAAAATTGTAAATCATTCTTTAAACCCCAAGGGCCCATCTCACTTTCAGAGGGGAGTGAGACAGAAAGGGCATTACCCTCAGAACCAGGACAAGAGGAGGTACTACAAGAGGCAATAGAGGTAAGAAATCAGATTGGGGGTAGACCCCAACTTATTTATGAAGTATGGAAAACCATAACCAATAATAAAGTTATACTGAATTGGGTGAATGGATATAAAATACCCTTGATTTGTAAACCTCTGGGTAGAAAAAATACACAACTGACCAATTATTATCCAATAATTGACAAGGACAGCATAACATCTTGCATTGTGGATCTAACAAATCAAGGGGTCATAATGAAAGTTGAGCCATGTAAGGATCAATTCCTGTCCCCATTCTTTACGGTTGTTAAAACTAATAAACAAGCTAGATTCATTCTGAACCTGAAGTATTTTAATACTTTTGTAAATAGTTCTCACTTTAAGCTAGAGGATTACCGAACAGCATTAAAACTAATGTATCCTGGATGCTATTTGTCCACTATTGATCTTAAGGATGCTTACTACTCGTTGAGTGTAGACAAGAACCACAGAAAGTACCTGAGGTTTCAGTTTGATCATAACATATATGAATTCACTTGTCTTTGCTTTGGGTTATCGACAGCACCCTATGTATTCACAAAGTTAATGAAACCGGTCTCCGCCAAGCTTAGACAACAAGGTATAACCTGTGTAGTCTATCTAGATGACATCTTAATATTAGGCAGGGATGCTATAGAAACTCAAAGACATACAGAGATAGCAGTTGAATTAATAGAATCCTTAGGGTTTATAGTGAATTACCAGAAAAGCAAGCTTACTCCTTCCAGGGAAGCTAAATATCTGGGATTCATTTTCAATAGCACAAACATGACTATATCAATTACGACTGAAAAGAGAGATTCTATTTTGAAGAAACTTAAGGATATAAGGAATAAAAAGCAATGTACAATTAGGGAACTTGCCCATCTTATAGGAATTCTTGTAGCTGCTTGTCCAGCTATCAAATATGGTTGGCTATATACAAAGTCCTTGGAAAGAGCCAAAACAAGGGCTCTTACACAATCTAATAACTCTTACCAGGCTCTCATGGTTATTCCAGACTACCTTGCAGATGATTTAAACTGGTGGGAGGTACACATTAGATATAGTAAGAACAATATCAGGCAAGACAAATTTTGCACCGAAATATTTACAGATGCCTGTCCAACGGGTTGGGGAGCCTGCCATAAAGGAGAGAAAACTAATGGGAGATGGTCAGTAACTGAAAAAACACACCACATTAACTACTTGGAGCTTTTAGCTATATTTTTCGGTCTCAAATGTTTCATTAGTGACCACAGATCATGCAACATTTTGGTCAGAACGGACAACACTACTGCTCTGGCTTATGTGAATCGCATGGGGAGTGTTCGATTCTCAAAGTTGCATAACCTTGCAAAAGACATTTGGAAATGGTGTGAGCACAGAGATATATGGTTAACTGCATCTTACATTAGCTCTGCAAATAATGCTGAAGCCGATGAACAATCCAGAATTCTCCCTTCAGAAACTGAATACGAGCTAAATAATGTAATATTTAGACAAGTGGTAGATATGTTTGGTCAACCTGAAATTGATTTATTCGCCTCGAGAGTGAATACCAAGTGTAAGCGCTTTATATCTTGGTTGCCAGATCCTGAGGCATATTCTGTAGATGCGTTTACGGTAGACTGGGGAAAATTCTATTTTTATAGTTTTCCACCCTTTTCACTCGTTCTCCGAACCTTGAATAAAATTATATCCGACAAGGCTGAAGGTATCATGGTGGTGCCCTACTGGTCAGGACAACCATGGTTTCCCCTATTCCAAGGTTTACTTATCAAAGGACCCATGATAATACCTGCTAACGAAAATATACTCCTTTCTTCTTTCAGCAAGAAGCATCCACTGGAAAATCAGCTTTCCCTGGTGGTAGGTGTGTTATCAGGGAAGCATTCCTAAAAAAGAACATTCCCGAAGCTGCAGTACCCATTCTCATGGAATCACTATCGAAGGCCACAATTAGACAGTACGAGAGCACATATAGAGTTTGGTGGAACTATTGTCTTCAGAAAGGATGGAAATTGTTCGAAGTAAGCGAACAGCAAGTTATTCTATTTCTTGAAGACCACTTCAGACAAAGGAACCCTTCCTATGGTTCCCTCAATACCATCAGATCAGCATTATCACTGATTCTTTCAATTGACTTGGGAAGTAGTGCAATCATTAAGAGGTTTCTCAAAGGCATTTTTAGAATTAAACCACCCCAAAGAAAATATAATTTTATCTGGGATCCTCAAAGGGTGCTCACTCATCTAGAACAGCAACCTTCAAACGAACTCCTAACAATAGAACTGTTATCCAAAAAGGTTGTTACATTACTTGCCTTGATAACGGGCCACAGAATTCAAACTATAGCCCGTATCAAAGTGGAAAATATCATTGTTTCCACAGAACTAGTACAGATCCTTATACCCGACCAATTGAAGACAACCAGTGCAAGACGCGAACAGCCGTGTTTGAAGATACCTTTTTTCAAAGAAAGGCCTGCTCTTTGTGCAGCAGCGGCTTTGATTGTATACATCGAGAGGACGGTACCAATTAGATCTGAAGTACAAGATCTATTATTCTTGACAACAAGGAGGCCCTTTCGAACAGCTACCACAAGTACAATCAGTCGCTGGATAAAGAATACCTTATCAAGTGCGGGCATTGACACTTCAGTATTCTCAGCATACTCCACCAGACACGCAGCCACATCAGCTGCACACAGAAATGGGGCAACTTTAGAAACAATTAGACGGACTGCAGGTTGGACAAACAAATCAAATGTATTTGCCCGCTTCTATAACAGGCCTCTTAACGACCATACTAGCTTTGCTAGGGCAGTACTAGGCTAGTTGGCTAGTTATTACAATAATGTTAAATGTAAAAGAAAATTAATGTAAATTCATTAATGATGTAATAAAGTACATATCATGGTTATATGAATCCAGGGAAAAAGCATGTAAGTTATCTATAAAATGCTACCAAAGTGATCTCTGCGGACGAGGCGCCGATATATAATTAACCGATTAAACGAACTTACCTGTGAAGTTCAATCGTAATTATATGAGGCGCCTCGTCCGCAGAGATCACCCCCACCTCTCCCGATTTGTATATTCTGCCGGAAAATTCAAATCTTATCCCAATACAGCTTTTTCCCCCTTTAAACTTAATGAAGTGGGGAATGGGAAGAGGTTGGAACATAGAACAACAGAAAACTTTTCTTCTTCTTCTTCTTTAATAATACGTGACCTTAGTGCATCGCCGAGCGATACTACCAAAGTGATCTCTGCGGACGAGGCGCCTCATATAATTACGATTGAACTTCACAGGTAAGTTCGTTTAATCGGTTAATTCGTGTACGTCTTTAAGATGTACATGGATTTACATCTTAAAGACGTACTTTATACGTCCTTGGACGTAAAGACGTAAGTAAGTCGTAAAATGTACGCCTTTAAGATGTCTGGTGCTGATTGGGTAGTGATAACTAGGTAATCAATATCCTTACTCTTGAATGGTATTATACTAATAAAGGCATATTTTTATTAAAAAAACTAATTTTTCTTTCATTAGAGATTTAATGATGATGTGTTTAAAATTCGAAAGCATGGATTTTGCATAGTTTTTTCGAATTATTGTCCGTGATTTTTTCACCCAGACAAAATTATTTTGAGTTGAGCAGTTAGGAAGGTACCTTATTAAACTTACTTTATTTTGTCAAGGTACTGTAGTTTGGCACATTGTGTAATTCTGTGGATCTCAAATGACATGTGACAGCACAAGTGTTTGGTTTGTGTCATATGTCATAGTTTTTGTGTTCTTAGATTCCTTGCGGTGGTTTCTTGTTTCTTGATCATTGACGTTCTGTGATTATTGTGAACATGTTTTTCATCAGTTGATTTTCAATTTTTGCACAAATTGTATCAAATCAACTGTTTTTTGTATTTCTGAAATTATTACAAGTTATTAGTTATTGCACCTTCGATTAGGCAAGTAAACATAATTTAAATTATTATAACTAGGTAGGTAGTTGAATTTAGTACAAGAACGATTTCATTAGTTCATTCCAGATTAGTGTATAATCTCCGGTTCATTAGTACCCAGTTTAACTGAGATTTTTTTATAGGAATCTGTTTGAAATTATTCAATGGGTTCATAAAGCTTCATCACCCACTGACGAGAAATTTTGAAGATATTGATGAAACCTTGAAACCATTAAAATTGGTTTTACTGGTTGGTGCCAATTACCTGTTCTATTAGGGATGTCTTATTAGGTCCTACAAAAAAAAAACCAATTCGATTTATCTATTGAACACTGCATTTCAATTCGAAAATTACAGACAAATAATTCTGTAAAATCATAAAATTTAATTTAAAAAAAATATATATTCATTCATTATTTGGACAACCAATTTTGAATTTGAAATTGATATTTTGAATAAGAATACTCTAATCCTTTCTATAAAATGTATCAATGGAAATTTCTATTTTTCCTGACCACTAGATGAAAGAAAACTTGAACAGACCATGAACAATCTTAATTGACAATATAATAGAGGACAATTTATCTCATTCAAGAACTTATTTTTGATTACCAGTTTCCTTTTCAATTCAAAGCTCTGGAAGAAAATAAACTGTAATGATTTTATTATGAATCTGAATCTTGGCAAGGCTGACACCTGTTAAATTTGATGACAAATATGTTAACAAAAATAATAAATGAAATATTCATTATGTGTAATACAGTGAAAAAGGTGTTGATTTTGCACAGATTTGCAAACATTCTTGTAAAAATATAGGACTGGTTCTAAATATTTTGATATTATAAATATTTATACTGTATGGCACATAGAAAATATTTTTGTTATCATATTTGTCATCAAATTAAACAGGTGTCATACAGCCTTTACAATCAGTTGGTCTCATCATTATTTATCATACTGGCATCTTGATAAAATGAATCTGAGTCTATTCTAATGAACCATCTGGAAAAAATCTATTCAAGGTTACAAAACTATTTACTCACAATCCTTTTCATTCATACATTTTGTTTTAGATTTCAAAATGGGATATGATGATGTCATAGAGAAATTAGGTGACTTTGGAAGATACCAGAAGAAGATATATTTTTTGTTATGTTTACCTGCCATCATATGTGCATTCCACAAGCTGGGCAATGTTTTTTTGATTGCTGAACCAAACTATAGGTAAGGTTTGGGTAGAGGTAAAATATCAATATTCTTTCATATCAGATATATTATTCAAGAATTACATGTTCATCTTATTCTAATATAAAAGTCACTTGATAAGCTCCTGATGTTTTATAAAGAGCAAATTTCAGAAAGTTGATCTAACCTCACACCTCAACTGGAACATTTGCAAAGTAACTGCACTGGTGAATAATTTCTTGTGATATAACTGCTTTATATGAAACCTGAAATTTATATTTTTGTATTTGAATAGTATGTCTGTAGGGTAGGTACCTACTTTGCTCATCAAAAAAAGAATCTTCATATACAGAATAATTACTTTTAGTATAGGTTTAGATTTATGATTACAATAAAACAAACTTAGTTGAACATAGTGTTGATATAATGGCATTTCAATATACTTTACCCTGCAACATCAAATAAATCTCTGGAGCCTTCTTGGCATTCTGACATTACTAACTCTATATTGTTGAATTGATTAGTCTTGCACCAATTCTGAACCATTTGTATCAATTTCAGACCTATTCCTTTTCTATGATATCTGTGGAATAATTCAAGTTGTCAAAAAAACTTTTTTTTTTCTTATAAATGAATAAATACAAATCCACCCACCTGTGGTCAACAGCCAGCCTAAACAGCCATGCCCAGTCATCTCTTTGCAAATGTCGCATCACAGCTATTGTGCCAATGATCTAAAAAGAATCAAATTATTGTAGTGAATGTATTTTTTTTTATTTTCTTCTTAACTGAACATTAATTAATTTTTCCTAAAGAAATTTGGTTTTGAATTTGGTAGTATCATTTGAAGAAGCTTTGAATTAAATTTTAATAGAAACTCTGAATCAGTTGAGTCCATTAGAGAGCATCAATGATTTTATCATAAATATTACATATTCTGAAAACATTTTCCTTATTCAATAATACACAATTTTCTGAAATCTTCAAGTAGTTTATTCATTTATTATATGAAATGGGTACAGTCAGATTCCATAGTATTGATCTTCTTGCTTTCATTACACCATCTCTCAAATGTGCAAACAAAACTCTCCTTCCATGGATTGTTACTCATATCTATGGATTCCATCATCAAAAATTTATTCAACAATCTGTCATTCATTTCCTGCAGATCATTTCCTTGAAGATACAGATTATCCAGGAAAATCAGATCATCGAATGCATGTTCATGAATCATTTTGATATTGTTGTTATTCAGAAACAACTCTTTCACTCCCAATAGTCCTCTGAAAATGTAGTCGCTGACAAAACTGAAGTTGTTGAAACTGAGATCTATGACTGAATACTCATACTCGTTGATATTGGCGAAAGCTGTGTTGAAATAGCTGTAAGGAATTCTTCTTGGTACCGCGGGATAATGCCTCAACCGATTGTAGTTCAGTAATAAGACTCTCAGATTCGTTGTGAGATAAAACAACTGCATTGGCAGCTCCTCTATATTGTTCCAACTCAAATCCAGAGTATGCAAATCACAGGTTGTAAAATGCTCTGTCTTGAAGGCATTGTATTCCATTACCTTTGGAAAGAGGTAAGACTTATGGAATGTTGCACCATAATTTCACAAAAATATTCAGAACTTCTTTATAAATTAAACAACAGGATCCAGTTGCCAATGGCAATTATTGAATTTTAATAGCATCACGTATGATACTGCTTTTTGGGATTCTATAGATAGAGATAAAGGTTGCCTTGCCTGTGAAATACTGAGTGAGTTTTACCCATTGGTTACCTTTTAATTTCTTATTTTGTATATAACCTTGGGTCGTATTTTTATACATGATTTCATGTTTGTACTCCTATATTATTGAAGAAAAATTAAATTTGGTAACAAAGTTAATCATAATAATCCACATTATCTTAGACTCATGGAAAAATATTGACATTGAAGAAAATAATATGGAAAGTTAGTCATTGTAATATTCCTTTCAGTAAACATGAAAATTGATATAATTCATTCAGATTGCTCTCCTTTTGGTTATAATTGACCCATAACCTTTGATATGGGGATTTCTCAAAACATCATATAAATGTTATGGAATTGTTGAGATTGCTATGAATCTAGGTCACTCCAAATGCACAATGTAGTGGAAAGTAGAGTATTCATATTTTTGGAGAGTATTAATTTGATAACTCCCTTCAGGAGACCACCCAACCAGTAAATTTAGGAATTTATTGAAAGGTGTCTGCTAACACTTTAATAAGGTTTTACATTAGAGATCATTAGTATAGAAATGGCAACTCATTTACTGGAATTCATAAGTATTTAGACTTTCTGAATATCATTAGGATTGCTAGGATGTTTTAGCATTTGATTACCTTTAAGGCTTATCTTGGTAACACTCAAATTTCCTAAAACATGTTCAGGTATCTCTTGGATCCTGTTGAAATTTAAGTTGATGGTTCGAAGTTGAGGCAGTTCTTGGAAAATCCATCTTTCTAAACTATGCACGTCGTTTCTGTGAATGTGCACATACTTGAGCTTGGTGAGATTAGCAAAACTTCCAGTTTTTAGAACTGGTATAGATTCATCTTCAATTATGACGTCAGTGACTTCATCTTGATCATTTATGGTGTCTGCTCTGAGAATCGTCATTGGTTTATCGCCCGTGTATGTTTTTATTGTAATGTAATTGAAAAATTCTGAACTTGTTTGGGCAACACAAATAATTGTTGATAGGAAGAAAATGGTAGTATACATTCTGAGTTATTCACAACTTACAAGTAAATTATTAGTTCTCTTAGTGCAAAATATATCATATTATATCTTATCAAGTTGTTTATATTCTGAATATAAACAATATACACTTCTCATCAAAATTATCTGGCATCAAATAACAATCCAGATGAACTCTCATGGACCATCAGATAGTGTTTGGAAAAAATAATGTAAAAACTAGTTGAAATTCACATCTCATCAATCATCATTCATCAATCAATGTTAAGTTTTAATAATAAGCAGTTTTTCCAGTTTTTTTAATGAAAATAATGAATTTCAGTTGCCCAATTAATTTTCTATCATTTGAATATAGGTATCTTTAGAATAGAATATGAAAAAACAAGTTCTAATCTGAACCAACATCAAAACTGGATTAGCTACTTATGAGAATGACCTCCCCTACCTTCCTCTGATATCCCTCTTTCCTGATCTCTGAAGCTTCAGTATCATCTTCAGTGATGATCTTATACCAGCAATTTTCTGGATTTTTCATAAAGAAGTATGGTTCATATGCTTCTGCAACCCAGCACATCAGAGGCTTTTTTTCATGCATAACTTGTGTAGCTTTCATCAAAACTGTTGCATAAATTATTACATACAAACTTAATAATACTAAGGGGATTGATGAGAAGCAGTAAAAAAGGGGCACACCAAAACATATAAACAGTAGAGCAAAAACTAACACCATAGTCTGGTATGTGACCTGAAACAAAATATGTAGATACCTATTTGAAGAAACCTTGTCATATACTGAACAAAAATATCCTACAATTACATACTTCATTGAATAAAGCATTCAACCAGGTGTTCTTTATGTTGGAAGAGTAAGCATTCAGTACAACTTCAGATATGAAAGGCCTGTCTTGATCACTGCTCTCTCTTATAACTATATAATAACTCATTATCTGAAAAACTCTTTTACATCAAGATTCAAAGGATAAATAACTCATGGATGCGGGAGCGGATGCCTTTAAACTAGGAAACAATATTTTTCAACTTGTATGCATAAATAGTTGTTATCGCTGTTAAAATGTTGAAACTTGAAACCTTAAAAATGTTGAAAATCTGAAACTTAGGTTATGCTTATTTTATTCTACTTCTTCACTTGTTCGGTTCTTCTTCTCTTCCCTTGCCCTTAGCTACCAAGGCCATTAAGCCAAATAAAGTAGGTAAGAATGATGAAAGGTTACTGGCTGGAAGGTGGTTCTGAAAAAAAGGCTCAAAGTTTACCGGCAAAGTAGCCTTCGTCATTCAACATCCCCCGGGGGGTTTCAATGGTTTGGATGTTTCTATTCTCATTCCCTTCTATCTTCTAATAAAGAAAAAATTTTAAAAATGTATCATTTATACAGAGCCTTCCATCTGGCTGAAATGGAACAAAACATTTATGAAAATAAAGTGTCACTAAATTATCCAATATTCATCAGTTTGAATTTAAGTTCATTAATTTATCTTTATTTTCTAGGTGTATGTTACCAAATGAGTTCGAAAATGCAACCTACCATTTGAATAAAAGTATTTTAGAAAAAAATTATCCATGGGATTCACTCCACCACCGGTATTCCTCATGCGATATTTTAGTTGATAACAAAACCCAACCATGTGAAAAATATATATATGATCAAGATGTGTATGGATATACATCTGTTATTGAGGTAATTTTTCTAGAGTCTCCGATTCTATGTTTCAATGTATATTTCACTTTCCAGTAGGCAAGTCAAAATGATTTCTAGAGTTCATTATTCTTTTTCCTTGCATGTAAAGGTACCAACTATAATGCTTATTTTCATTTTAGTTTCAACTGACATGTACAAGAGCATACCTGATAGCAACATCCAATTCTCTTTTTATGGTTGGAGTTATGATTGGCTCCATTGGATTTGGCGAAATGTCAGACAGGTGCATATTTTTTGTGAACATAATATATTCATATGATTTCTATTTGATTTCGAAATTTTTGAGTGAACATTGATTGGTCTGTTTTGATGGTTCCGCTCTAGAATTTGTTGTTCTATAGCTAATGCTTGATGGTATGGAGGGTTCTCCATCATGTTAGTAAAATAGTGAAATCATTATTTTAGGTATGGACGTAAGAAAACGTTCTTTATATCATTAGTGACACAAGTGGTTGTAGGAGTGATAGCGGCGATAGCACCGGAGTTTTGGACATTTACTATTGCCAGAATTATTGTTGGAGCAACAACTTCGGGGGTATTCTTGGTTGCATATGTTATAGGTAAATATTTGGTCAGTTTATCTGTATTTGCAGTGAGTTAATTCTTGAAGAAATATTGTGATGCTTTCTTTTGTTTGTTGAATGAGACCATAGTCACAGTGAAAAATAATTGATTGCTTCCAGATGAACACTAAATATAAATGTTATTGTTGACAGGTTTGGAAATGGTGGGTCCATCTAAAAGGTCTATAGCTGGGACGATTTGCCATATGTTTTTTTCTATTGGGTATATGTTGACAACCCTGTTTGCACTCTACATTCCGCATTGGCGTCATTTGCAGTTTGCTCTAACAATTTCTGGAGTTTTATTTTTAGGATATTGGTGGTAAGGATATGAAAGTATATAGCATGAATGTATGACCCAATGAAGTATTTGGTAGGAGTTAGGTTGAGGATACTCATGTCTCCAGAAGACAACCTCATTACCATATTTAAGAAGAGAACACTCCCTGAAGAAAATTATTGAAAGTTTTTGGCAGCTCTATAGCATCAGAGGATTTTCATAAATTTTCATTTGAATTTGTACATCCCACTTTAGTTGAAAATATGCACCTGTGTTCAAAACGATTGCCAAACTTTTAGGTTTATTCCTGAGTCAGCAAGGTGGCTTATAAGCAAAAACAAAATTTCGGAAGCCAAAAGACTAATTCAAATAGCAGCTAAATGTAATAAAGTCACAATTTCAGATGAAACACTAGATTCATTGTTAGTTTCAAGTGAAGAGGTCAAGAATAATGGAAAGGAGTCTGCTAACACTTCAGTACTGGATCTCTTTAGATATCCCAACTTGAGAAAGAGAGCAATCATCATATTTTTTGATTGGTGAGTCTGCAATCAAGTTTCACCTAATATTCTGTTTGATTGATTTGTGTCTATTACCCATTAATCAGAGATGTATAAAAACAAAATAATGTTATATTTTCATCAATAACATCCTTCAATTTTATTCAAGGTTTGCCAACAATATCACCTATTATGGTTTGTCCTGGAACACAAATAACTTGGGCGGCAACCCTTATTTGAATTTCGTAATCTCAGGGGCAGTGGAGATTCCAGCATATGTTTTTTTGATGCTTTTCCTCAACGTATTGGGCAGAAGAAATCTCATGTGCGGCTGTATGATATTGGCTGGTATTGCTTTACTATTGACAATGGCAGTGCCAAAAGGTAAGTCTGAACAATAAGGCAGATATTGGAACTCAAATATTTCTAATGAAGTGACTATTTGGATATTTTTGTCTCTCAGAATCGTATTTCAAACAAACAACACTTTTAAACAATCTCTCATATCACTGAAATATATTTTTTCTGCAACCGACACAAAAGTCGTCCATTTTGATACCAATAGGCGACTGAGATTAAGATCGTAGCGCCAGAACGGTGAATGTCGGTACTACTCTATGGGCCATTGGCGGATTGTTTACATTGTTTGGTAATGGTGTTTATGTTCATTTCGTTTTGAGTTTTCGACCATTCAGCTTTGTTATTTGTCAATTTTCGAACTTTGTATTTTCCAGCGGTCTATTGTGTTTTGATTGAGCACTATATTATCACTGTTCAACATTAGATAACGTCCCTACCTCTAGTTGAACTTCATATATACCAACATACATAAGCTGTAAGTTTTTATCATTATTGAACAAGAATTCTCATGAGAACCTGTGTGGGATGTTGATTTCCAATTCGAATATATGGCTGGGATATTCCCCTGATAGCATGATATTTTTAAAAGAAAATCCAGCATACTTTTTGAGAATAAAATGTTCTTTCGAATGTGAATTTAGGTATGCAGTTTCTACTTGACTTTTTACAACATAATCATCAAAACCCTGATTGATAAAATTCTTTACTGTTTAAAAATTCTACTGTTCATGAGTAAAGATATATTCAGTTTAAAATTTGTTTGTTTTTTCACCATCACCCCAAGAAGTAGGTATTATATTCATAATAGACATACATTTGAGAATATATATGAGTACATTTTCAGTGAAGTGTAAAAAACAATCTCTCATTATGTTCAGACACTTTTTCCAATCTTCAAGTTATGAATCCACACCTTTCTCCTACCAATCACTTCCTTATTTCCCAAATTATTAGTTTCAAATGCTGATTTAGACTGTCCGGATTTTTTAAAGGATTGAAAGCTATACTCGGGATTTTTTTGCTCAAGGTGAACAATCAGGTACACAACAATAATGACTCATGTCTTTAAACCTTCATAGAAGTTCTCAAACAAAATAATAGACAATTAAAACACAACTACTTCTTGTACAAAATACAAGCAAACTAATGTAAACAAAGCAATCAATGGCCCATACGTTAGTTATATTAGACAACGGTAGAGGGAGTACTCCTTAGCATGAATCGCCTATAAAATTAGCTCTTAAATTGACGTTTCTATTACTGACACAAAAATAGATATGTTGCTAGGCAACATATTTAGTTCCTAGGAGCTAAAGTTGAATTTTTGTTCCTAGGAGCTAAAGTTAAACTTTAGCTCCTAGGAACTAAAAAGGATGTACTGGACGTCATCAAGAATAAACAACATTGTGACGGTTGGTTATTTGGGTCGAGAAGCATACCTGATTTGTTTCCGATTTCAGCAGATTTGGCATTTCATACCCATGCTGGAGATATAAATACACCTTATTATAGTTAAGTATTGGAATTTTAAACATCTCAGTTAAGTATTTTTGTTTTGATCAGGGAAGCCTTCAAGATTCAAATACTTGCTTGATCTGTATTTCATTCGTTATTCTCGGGATGGATAACTTGTTTTTGAATAATCACGGCAAGCAATAGTTTTTTTTGTCTCAAACTACGACACTGTTTAGCTTCATTTGATTATCAAGTCAAACACAGTGTAGTATGGAGAGGAATAAATAATCACTATTATCATTGTTGATATGCTCACTAACCTAACATTTTCCACGTCTTGTTCCTATACCTGGAACTGGCGCGGTATTTGCTATTAGAGCACCTGGTCCATACAGAAATATGTCACTCTGTGGTTGTATTTATATTGAAACTACAATTTGAACATCTTTGAAAACCTAACCTGCTGTTAATGCAGGTAGAATATTCTCACCACACGGATTATTTGTCAATATTTGTTGCATTGCATACATATAGCACGGCATTGGTGGTTACTTCACATGTTCATTTGAGTTGATTGTTTCGGTTGCAGAAAAAATAGCATGTTTCATTCGGATCAAAAGTGACTTTGTTCGACTCGCAAATTTTGCTTTCGCTCGGCTTCGCTAAACGCTTCGCCTCGCAAATGCAAAATTCGCTTGTCAAACAAAGTGTCACTTTTGATCCTAATAAAACAATCTACTATTTTGAAGCTATTACATATTCATGAATCTAGTCCAATTTATAAAGAAGTAGTAAATATATCACTAATTTCATTCCATTTTGACCCCCAATCCAGTGTGTTTTCAATTGCAACACTTATCTCACTGGAGTTTTTCAACATATGAGTACTATTGAGTACTCATCAATTTCAATATGTTATATATACAGGATGTTCGCAACATCTACCGTGGAATCGAAAGATCCAATCACTTAAGTCTGTGAGGTTAGAAAGTAGTATTTTCTGTTGAGTATATACATACAAATATTTTGTATTCAAATTCAAAACAATGAAGATAGTAAATTTTTGATTGCCAGATCAACAGTGGCTAATTGTAACTCTCGCTATGATTGGTAAGCTATCGATAACGGCCAGTTATGCGGCCGTGTACATTTTCTCCAGTGAGCAATTCCCCACAGTCATCAGGAACGCCGGTCTGGGGGCGGGATCCACTTGCGCGCGTGTCGGCTCCATCATCGCACCATACATGAATATATTGGTAAGTTGACGCAACCATTATTATTTGTCATTCATCAATCATCACATTCAGGAATCTGGTTATATATAAGGATACTGTCTGTAGGTTGATCAAGGAGGTGGTACATTCATTTTGCTTGATTTTTTGGGTTTTCTCTCCTCGTTTCTATAAAATTAAAATATGCCTATTATTTCAATATATTTGCAGCAACTTCCAGAGAGAAATATTTTGCATTTTCATGTTGAGAACGGGAGCAGATTCGGTCCCGAAACGTCCAAAGACGAGTAAAAATTCGATGTTTTTAAAAGTTAATTAAAATTATTAATTAAAGGCTTTTATTTAACTTGCATTGTATGTTTGTATGTATGTATGTGTGTATGTATGTTCGGGTGGAATCTCTGAACTCAATTTTGAAGTAGAAATCTCCAACCGATTGAGCTGAAATTTTGTATACACATTACACGTTCAGTTTGGATGATAATGCACGATAAGGTGTGTCACGTTATTCTAAATCCAATATGGCGGACTATCCAAGATGGCGGAATAGCTATTTTTGATATACTTTTACAATATGGGTATCAAATGAAAAGGCTCGTTGAGAGTAACTCGAAAAATGATGTGACGTCAATCTAAATCCAATACGGCGGACTATCCAAGATGGCGGAATGGCTATTTTTGATATACTTTTACAATATGGGTATCAAATGAAAAGGCTAGTTGAGAGTAACTCGAAAAATGATGTGACGTCATTCTAAATCGAATATGGCGGACCATCCAAGATGGCGGAATGGTCATTTTTAATCTACTTCTACAATATGGGTATCAAATGAAAGGGCTCGTTGAGAGTAATTCGAAAAATAATGTGACGTTATTCTAAATCCAATATGGCGGACCATCCAAGATGGCGGAATAGGTATTTTTAATATACTTCTACAATATGGGTATATATCAAATGAAAAGGCTCGTTGAGAGTAACTCAAAAAATGATGTGACGTCATTCTAAATCCATTATGGCGGACAATCCAAGATGGCGGAATGGTCATTTTCAATATACTTCTACAATATGATGGGTATCAAATGAAAAGGCTCGTTGAGAGTAAATCGAAAAATCCAGCTAGCGATAACTAAAAATTAAAAAATAAATGAAAAGTAAAAAAAACTTTTTAATAAAAAGCTTTTATTTAAACGCTCTTAAAAGAAGAAAATAAAATGTTTCTTAATAATTTTAACTATCAACTTATAACCTCATTATACACAATTTATATGATCATAAAAGCTTGTCGCGATGATCAATATTCAATTAAATTGTAATTTTATAAATGTTATCTGAGCAGATTTTACATAATAAAATAAGTACTAGTTCATTTACACAAGTGAATCGCACGACAAACTTTTATGATCATATAAATTGTGTATAATGAGGTTATAAGTTGATAGTTAAAATTATTAAGAAAAATTTCATTTTCTTCTTTTTTAAATGAAAGCTTTTTATTAAAAAGTTTTTTTTTTACTTTTAATTTATTAACATTTTTCGAACAAATTGTCACTGACAAGCTACTGGATTTTTCTTTAGGCTCCCTGATAGGAAAATTTGTTGAACCCAGTGACATTTTGGGGCAAAAATCATCTGATTTGTCCCACTACAAGTATATTGAAATAATACGCACATTTTTATTTTATAGAAACGAGGAGAGAAATCCCAAAACATCAAGTAAAATGGTTATAAGGTATTCGTTTACCAGGATTCTCAAAAACCATAGGGCAAAGTTTCAGATTCAAAATCTGAGACTGCCCAAAATGTTCAGAGAAATTACCGATTTGATGTTCTGCAAAACTTAAACCTACTTATTGTTCACTCTTGTTTCAGACACATGTTTGGCAACCCCTTCCTTTATTGATTTTTGGCAGTTTGTCTTTGTTGGGGGGTATTATGTCTCTGGTTTTACCGGAAACTCTTAATGAAGTATTGCCAACCACCTTTGAGGAAGGCGAGGCTTTTGGAAAGTGAGTTCAATTTTTTTCTTCATAGCTTTTGTAAATTAAATTTGCTTTCTGTTTGCAGAAAAATTAAGGTGGTTCCATCCGAAGTTGAACCTCTCAACGTGATCTCAGTGAATGATAAAAATGTACCTGAAGAAGCCTCCAATGGAACCGGATAGTAGTCAAAGCTAGATGAACTGATTTTTTCAAATGATGATATCCCAAATCCATAGAAACTGGTACCCCAAGACATATACAATTGAATTTGAGTTATACCATATTTTCTACAAGATTTCACATTTCTTATTTATTTATATATGTATAATATGTTAGGTAATATTTCTATTTTTCTGTATTCAGATTTTCACTATTTTTTTTTATGCATTTGAATAGTAGTAGAAATATCATGAGAAAAATAGCAACTGAATTTGGTTTCAAATTTTGTGGAAGCCTTTTATTGAGATTTTAAGACTTACAGGTAATTCACATCACAGGTAACATATTCATACCAAAGAATATTTGATTTTATATATACCTCTCATTTAACTATATAGACTGGACCAAGAATTCTGAATAAGTAGGCATTTGTGTAAGCATGTAACAGGTCTTCAACAATGATAGAGTGCCATGTGGCCTTTCTTTGATCTGTATACATATGTATTCTTGGTTGCATAGTAATTTATCACATGTTGAAGACCAGATTAGGAAAACTTTTCTATGACTACTGTTTTGCATTTTCTCTTTTACAAGTACCCTGTTTTACTTTACTACCGGTTAATATTTACCGAGATATTTACGCTTCATATGCCAGTAAGTGTCAAGCTTTTCTTTGTTATTTTATTTGAAGTTCTTTCAAATAGTCCCATATTTATCAATGAAAACATAGATCGGCTCAGTATATCATTTTATTTTGATTTGAAAGGACTAGAAAACACATTCAAATATTTGTGAAAATAGTATTGATGTACTCTGATCAGACTTCTGAATGTTTTATGAACATTTATTTTAGCTACTTATACAATATGTTTACATTATTGTGAGTTGATAAATAAAATACTGATCATTTTCAAACAAATGAAATAAGATACTTGGAAATAGCCAATGTTTTCATTATCAGAAGATTAATCCTATGAAATGTTTATATTTTCCCCTTGAATTCTATAAGTATACCAAGAGCAAGTTTCTGAACATTTAATTTCACAAAGTTTCTTCCTGATCAGCATTTACCAAACTTTACATTCAATAAAATGTTATACACAGAGAATTTGTTTATTGAATTTATTCTAACATGCCAAAAGTGGTGAAATCCTTGCCAAATCACATTTTATTGTATACAGATTGGCTGGATTATGAATAATGCTGCATCAAAATTATTGAAACACACTGGGTCATTATTCATATTTGGAATGCATCATTACTCAACAATTATCAAAGATTATGATATAAATTCCATAAACTCAGATTTATTGAATTACAGATTATTTTCTTATTCAATCCTCATCTTCACTATCATCATCCTCTTCCTGCTGTGTTTCTAGATACTGTGAAATTTGCACTTGAAGATTACCATCTTCCACCAGATCTGTCAATCTCAAATTATTATTGTTACAGCCTATGTAAGGACACTTGGCCTTATTCTTCATCTGCTTTATATAATTTGATATGGTACCATATTCATACACATGTTTGCATCTCTTATTTTTGTAAGGGTGCTGTATAACAGTTTTGCTGATAGGGTCAATAGGTGGTGCAAAAACATTAGAGCAAAGTAAAGAGTCCCCAAGTTCTTCAAATTGGGTGTCATCTATTTTACTCTTCTTTTGCCTCACTTCCACTACATCACTATGACCCCCAATAACCTTTTTCCATAGGGGACTTTCCTTATAATTGTTGGTGGAAGCTGTTGGATCATCTTGGAGGTATTCTTGAAACAAGTGATCTATGTCTTCTGAACCTTTGGAATCGGGGTCGTTCATTTTTTCATCCAATTTTCGCAGAGCATTCTCAGTACTTTTTATCTGTTTGTCTATATCACAGTACGACTTTACACAGTTGGTGAGTTTTTCCATCTCCATTCTCTTTTCCTGCTCATCATCACAGTTTTCATTGATGAGTTGTTTCCAAATGTCTAAAGATCTAATGCATTTATCAAGATTCTCTTCCAATCTTTCATACAGAGCCATAATTTGCGAACGTTCGATATTATAATTAATCTTTTGGAGTTGAATCAAATCCTAAACAAAAGTGAACAGCTGCAGAACCATACACATAACCTAACTTCTTCTTCTTCTTTAGCAATTAGCAGTGGGGACTAACTGTTACTGACATGATACAATGAAGAGGACTGTTACTGAAGCAAAGAATAGTAGTCTTTGACTGAAGTGACTGAAGTCCCTTTGGGTTCAGTCTCTAAGGGATGAGTTGAGGAGGTAAAGCTGGGAAACTGTGCCTTGGGTAAAGCTGCACTTCAGTCTTCAGTGCGTCTGGTAAAATACCATCGCTATCCTCCGTGACAGTGTTCTGAAATGTGTGTGATGTACTTAATTTTTGGAAAAAATTCAACATTTTTATCGAATATAACCGTTATCCTTTGGTTTTGGTCTCTCGCTATTCTTGTTCGGTAGTGGGTATGTGATTTAGTTGTTCCAACCTGTGACTGTAATGAAGAATCAGAAGAAGAAAATTATTGGTTATGTTGATGTTGAAAAAATTAATCACATTATTTAGAAATGTCTCTTTTAAAAGTGCTTTTGCGTAACAAACATTTCAATTTCAATGCAGAAAAACTAGTATTTCAGCAAAGCGGGGACAGAAAATTATCAAATGACGTTAATAATGAAATAACTGAAAAAGTTGAATCAGGAGGGTTTGCCAAGTCCTACGAAAAATTCGAAAATATAAAAGATCATAACAAATCTCCACCAGCTCATCAGACATTCGCAAGTTTATTGAAGAATTCTAAATTTATAGACGTGAGTATGTCCAGGGAAATGTGATACTAAAGAATATTTCAACTTGCAGTTTGATTTCAGGTAGGAGACCCGGAAGGAAAAATAGTAAATGGAAAAATATTTCATGTTGTTGATGATGATTTGTATATAGATTTTGGATGGAAGTTTCACTGTGTTTGTCCCAAACCAAAGAAGAACTCTAGGTAAGTTCATCTTCACTGAATAAATAACTTTGATGATGAAATTAATGAAGTTCATACATATATAACTAGAGCATTATTTAAAATATTGGTAAATTTGAGGATATAATTTGAAAAGGCAACTGGAACTGAATACCATAGACATGTTCTGTTTGGTTCAATGCCCCAGTGTTTTTTATAACCTAACCTTTTTTCTTATTTCAGTGATTTTGTGAAAGGAGCTATGGTACGCTTACGTATCAAAGATTTGGAGCTATCAACAAAATTTCTGGGCTTTGATAAAGACCTCACTTTACTTGAAGCAGATTGCACTTTACTAGGATTGATACAGGATAGGATCAGAAGTACACCCCAATAGTAGCAGTATATTTTGTAATGAATAAGCACATCTCCAAAAAATTGTTTATTCCGGTTGGCAAGAATTAGTTATTAATATTTCTTCATTTTTAGTTTTATTAATTAAAATTGATGATTTCACTATCAAGTGATGAGGAGTGAAAATAAAGATTTCTTATTTTCTCAATTGTCTACCTGGCATAAACTTCATTTTCATTTTATTGCAAGTTTACTAGTAAAATAGTATTTTTTAAAGCACATTGCATGAATTAATGAATTTTATTTACAATTACTTAATACAATGTTTATACATTATCCCTGCAATTAGCTTTGAAAATGTCAATAGTAGGCAGCTGGATTAAAAAATCATGAAATTGAAAAATTTCACAAATATATAATGATTTTGTAATTACCTGCTTGAAGCCCATGTGCCATAAAATATACACATGATTTTCTATAGTATGATGATATATATTTTGTACTAGAATCAAGATTGTATCTTGATTCTTGTAGAAAATACATCTAACATAGGGACTGAAAATTGGTAATTTAAAACAGAGGTAATTTATATTGAATTGAGTTGATATACTGGGTGGGAACATAAAATATATACATAAACTAAATAAGGCACTTGAGAATTCTTTTAGTAATTTGCTCAGTAATTGAACAGCTATGCCCAACATTTTTAGACAAATTCCAAATTAATAACAAATAGTTATTCATTCTGAAAATGTGTACACAGTTTCAGTTTGCCAAAAGGTGAACAATACTTGGTCAAATTACACTTCTCAACTGATCATTGAGAATCAAATACTATCCATATTATATTACTGAAATGTTATTTGAAAGTGTTTATAGATGACGGTTTCTTTCACTTTTTGATATGATAGTGATCAACTTTCAATAGAGATACCAGAATAATTATCAGATCTATGTCACGGTTATACAGTATAAAATAAACGATATTTTTTTATAACAACACACAAGGCAGTCCACAACACAATGGTAAGCAAACCGGGACGACAGTGGCCCCACTGCTGCTTTTCATCTTGCTTTTGCTTTCTGCTTCATATTGGTATTTTCCGGATGCCTTTGCATAGCCACCCTGAAATCAGAAGAAGTTTTGTGCACTTAAAATCTACAAACAAAAAAGAAGTAGAGGACTCCAAACAACATCCATCCTTAGATCATGTATAATCTAAGCACCCATCAGAGAGTTGAAGTGTTGTCATGAACGTTAACGTAAACGTAGAAATTGACAGCTACGCATGCGCATTTTCCAATTCTTCACGTTTGCGTTGTTAGTGGGCTTACGGGTGTACGTTATCTCACGTTCCTTCACGTATACCTTAAATATCAACGTACGTTAACCAAACTATACTCGAAATATGCCGATGAGTCAAAATTATCAAATTCGAGATCACCAACGAGTTCTGCATCAAGGAGTCCTCTAATTTTGACAGGAATAAATGTTCGAATCTAAACACACAACCAAAAATGACCAATACAAACCGAAAACAAAATGTATTATTACGTTATGATGACAGTGACGACCAAAGTGGCGACTTCAACTCAATTTAACGACAATCAATACGTCAACATTATTTTTCGTACGTTAACGTCGACGTGGAGGTCTACGTACAGTGATTACTTCAACTCTCTAATATCCGCTCCGAACGAGCGCTTCGCGCGTAAATTCGTGTCAAAAGTGGACAAAACTCAGCGTGCATTATTATCAATATTATTAATCTTTTGATATAATATTGCCATTATTCTAACCTGTGCTCTCCAGGCGGCTTCTCCTTCCTCCTTCTTAACGAACATTTCTCCGGGAGGGTAGTAGACAGCTGGCCCAGACACGTTCTTGGTTTTGGCAATTTGTTCCTTCCTTTGTGCATCGTCGGCCTCGGACGACTGCTTCTTAAGCGTATCGATCTTCTTCTGGTGAGCTAAATCTTGCTCATGAGCCGTGAATCCTGCATTCAGGGGGCTGTTGGGAGGCTGAAATGAACCACAAAAATACGTGAGAAGTTATTAAGGAGTTATCACGCAACGTATATTTTGCCCCAAACATTGTTTTCAACTAATGAGCAAGCTTTAAGAAAAAATATAAGTATAAGTAATTTTGTGCCTCAGTCCAGTCCTGCAAAATAGCATTGAACTTTAATGGCAGCGTCCGATTCGTGGCGTGCGTTCCGTGCTTGTGTTCCGTGTGTGTTTGCGTTCCCATTTTTTCACAGAACTATTTAATCCATAGAACTTGAAGTTTCTCCAATTTACGATCTATTTTAGGTTTTAGCATCAAGCGCCAAAAACTGTTAAACCGCCGTATTCTCCGATTCTGTGCCGGCCACTGCCGGCGTTTTTCTGTTTATTGTTTGTTTGTCCAGTTCCATTTTTTGGTCGTGTTGGTGTTTATCATATAAAAGTATGATTTTCATATTGATAATGGTCAATTTGTAGGTATTTGGAGACAAGTAAATTACCTTGCCAATGCCAATACTGATAGTGTTCATAGTCATGATAAGTTCCTTATTTCTTCTTTTTTTAGAGGTGAGTCATTTTTGTTGAATTTTTTAATATTCGCATGCCAGATGAATAATATTTGTATTGTCCTGCATCTAAAATTTATATATGAGGGAAGATGCAAGTCCTAGTTACTATTTTATAGATGTATAATGTATATGTTATGTTTCCAAGATAGTATTCTGAATGTATTCTGTAAGTACCTATATTAATTGCAAACTCTTTTCATTTTCTAAACATACCCTAAATATACCTAGAATGGTCGACAATAAGTATTTGTGAGTATTTTATTTTTGTTATAACAGATCTCACCTCATGTCCTATTGTAGCCATGAGTTCATCCAGCTTTTTCGGGGGTCCATCAGTTATTTCACTGTTAGGAAATTTTCCAGGCAGCAAAGGTTGGTTCTCCTCATTTGGTGGATAGGCTCCTCCAAACCTGTTCTGCGTCGTGTTTGTCGATTTGTATGAATAGTGAATATTTATTGGCTCATTTGGTTCATATCTAGATTGAAAAACAAGAATATATAGAATGTGAACAGTTTCAAAACAACTATACTTTCATGAGTTAATCAATTCTAGTTTAGTTAGAAGTACCATAGATCTATGGAAGTACCTACTTCTCCCTTTGAAATTCACCAGGAAATATTAGTTTGGTCAGGAAGTATTTGGGAATTACAGGTATGGCAATTGCTCCAGATGAGACTCAAATTCACTGAGTGTTAAAAAGTTATTAACATAATATTCATAGAGAGAGACAGAACTCTCATATTTTCAGACTCTTTTGATTAATAAGGTGAGTATTTTGAAAAGTTGTGAACTTGAAAACTTTCTTTTTGAAAGAATAAGGTGTACTGAAATATATGCAATTTTTCCCTATATCTGAATTGTAGTCATATAAATACTCAAATTTGAACATTAAGACCTTCCTATAATTATGTCAAATGTGAAGATGTATCAATACATTGAGGTTATTTGAGGTAGGTATGCTAATGAGATTCCAATAGGTATGCAGATTCATGTATATAAGTCTACTCACAAGTTATAGGTACCTAAGCAATAATTTTTTGACTTAATCTTACTTCATTGATAAGAAATGTTAATGTTTAGTTATTTTGTAGATGTAGATTCATTGTGACAGGTTTAAAAAGATTCTTATATAGTTTTCTTGATTACCTAACATCAATGCTCCCTTGTTTTATGTGTGGGGAAAGGTTAAAGGTTGGATCCTGGGTTGGATCAATCTGGCATTTCATGTCAAATATTTACAATACCTATTTCAGGAAAATTACCAGAACAAGAGCATTTATCACTTGATTTATCATCATTTACTTACTATTGAATATTTAACTGATTTTCTAATGAATTGAATTGGTTCTTTTACATGATTCAAATTCAAAATATAGGATGTTGAAAAAATCTGCTGACGTCACAACATGGCGCACTCGTCGTTTTCATCAGCTGATCGGGGGGGGGGGGAAATTAAGCTGTGTGTGAATTTTGATTTTATTATTTCTGGACCATTGGTGATTTTGTTGAATTTCTAGATATTATACAAGAAGAATGTCTACAATGACTCAATGAGTATCTATTGAGGTATATTACGAGGTATATTAGGTATATTAGAGCTGAACTCAAGTAAATCCAGTAATTTAAAATTGACAAAAAACCAATTTGATCTCATTCACTTCTCTCACAGGATTCATGATGAATGAATTAACGAACATGTCAATGAATAAATGCTCCAGGTATTGTATTTTAGTGGTAAATATGCAAGAAAGTACCCTTATGGAAAATGTGTATGCTTGTCCCCCCATCAGGTGTTCAATAATGGTCGACATATGACGTCACTGACAATGCTCTATTAAATTCATGAAACATATGATTACCCATGTGCAGGTGGGTGGCGCCCTCTGGGATCGAAAGTCTCGACCTCATCGGGAGTTCTAGGCCTGTTGCCCGTCTGCCTGGGGGGCTCGTAGTTGTTGGTGGTGTGGCTCTCGTGGCGGTAGACCATTGTCTTCCCAGGTTGATGGGGGTGGGAGCCATTCTGCTGGGAGGGCGGGGGCGGGCTGACGGCGCGTTGGTGGTTGGTCGTCGTGTTGTGGCTCTCTTTGATGACGTACGTCGTGTGCGGAGGGTTGCCCCTGTTCGAAAAAGTATCGGTTATGCATTTTTTCCACAGAACTGTCGAAAAAGTGCACATTGTTCGACAGTTCTCACATATTTTGTTTCTTCTGTGACGGGAAAAAAGTTTGGCATTTCATCTCAGTTGGCAGGTTATAAAATGTCACTTTTCATAAATTACTTTTTTCCCGGATATACAGGGTGTCCCTAGACCAGTGGGACAGTTAAATATCTTCTGAACCAATAGGAATTTTCAAAATCTTATAATTTCACATCATATCGCATTATGACTGCTAAATTCAGGAATGACTATATTTTATACGAGGGGCGCAAGAAAGGCTCACAAAATCGAACATCAATTTTTTCAAATGGAACACCCTGTATTTCATTGCATTTTCATATTCTTTTTGAAGAGCTGAATTCAACGACCTAGCACACTTGGGGTCTAGCGGCAATGATTTCCGAGATATAGAGAATCATTTTTGGGAATTTTTTGTGTCAAAACTATTCATTATTGGTCAAAACGGCTCACATGTACATATCTCAACTTTTGATTTACTATTCACTCGTATTTAATTGAAACAAATACAGGGTGGTGTAGAATTCTCAGTTTCAGTCAGAATTCTACACCACCCTGTATTTGTTTCAATTAAATACGAGTAAATAGTCAATCTAAAGTTAATACATGAACATGTAAGCCGTATTGACCAATAATGAATAGTTTTGACACAAAAAATTCCCAAAAATGAAAAATCTCGATTTTCCACACCCAATATCTCGCAAATCATTCCCGCTAGACCCCAAGTGTGCTAGGTCGTTGGATTCAGCTCTTCAAGGAGAATATGAAAATACAATGAAATACAGGGTGTTTCAATTGAAAAAATTGATGTTCGATTTTGTGAGCCTTTCTTGCGCCCCTCGTAGAAAATATAATCATTCCTGAAGTTAGCACTCATAATGCAATATTATGTGAATGTATAATATTTTGAAAATTCCTATTGGTTCAGGAGATATTCAACTGTCCCACTGGTCTAGGGACACCCTGTATATCATACATATACAGGGTGTTAACAAATAAGTGTCACAACGGAAAACTGTAGATTGCTCATGACAAAAGAAACATTTTTTTCCCTTTCGAAATTTTTCTCCGGGCTTCCGTTATCAAGATACAGGGCGTCAAAAAAATACAAAAAATTCTGTTTTTTTGCTATACTATCTCAGGAACCGTCTGAGCTACGGAGTTGAGCCTTCGTACACACTTTATCATAAATAATGACTACTTTTAGGACTCTTGATCACTTTCCTTGGACATGTCAGTGGAGGAGAATTCAAAGCCTCGGTAAGGGTTTAACCCCCCAAACATTTATGCCACTGGAGAAATTGTAATTTCTCCTCAATATTTATTCGTCCTTTCTTCTGTCACAGAAAAAAATAGTGTATTATACACGGGAAAAATATTAGATTTTAGCTCAACCTGGAGCTAAAATCTACTACTTTTTTCCCTTGCATAATGAACAACTATTTCACCCGGTTTTATTTTTATAGACCGGCAAGTAGACAGATTTTCGGACGTGATTTCACCCAGTATAATATGTGCCCTTTGGAGGGTATCATTATGTATACAGAGAAGTGCCCGAAAAACGACCAGGATTGTAACTTTCGAATTATCCTAGATAGGGTTTTCGGTGGGTAGCAATGTATACCAAATTGCTCATTAATTGATGAAACAATTTTTCTTCACTTCCAGTTTCACCGGAAACGACCCCAACTTTTGATTTTCAAATGAGACACCCTGTATTGTATTCCATAATAGGTTAGGAATTATCATGACGAATTCAACGATACCGGGTTTGATAGGGTTATTCCAAACTATTACAAAGATATATTTCGCGTTCGAAGTTTCCATATGCTCAATGGGTGTGACTTGACAATATCAAAACTTCTTTCTCTGTCACACTCATCGAGCATATGGAAACTTAGAACGCGAATATCTGCGTGATCGTTTGAAATAACCCTATCAAACCCGTTGTCGATGCATTCGTTATGACAATCCCTAACCGATTATGGAATACAATACAGGGTGTCCCATTTAAAGTTCAAAAGTGACAGTCCTGGCCGTTTTTCGTGCACTTATCTGTATATTTTGATGTTGAAAAATGATAAGTATATGAATGAATCCTCCTGGGTTCTTATTCATGCATTAAACTTGATTAATTAACATTATTTTTTCGCAAATTGAGCATCTTGATACCCTCAAAAAGGCATATATACAGAGTGTAATCACGTCCGAAAAGCTGTCACTACCTGCCGGTCTATTACTGTCAGCAGTCAAATTTCATTGATTTTGAAAAAAATACAGTGGATAAAGATAAACTACAAATGAGATTCCAGTTCTGGAAATTTATTTAATTACAATTGAAAAAATAGGGTAGGGATAGCTTTTTATAACATTTTAAATTTGCACAGGAAACTTGACAAAAGTCTTTGAAATTTAGACTTGTAATTTATTATTCTCACCTGTTGTTGTCTGGCGGATTATACACAGGGTAACCTCTTTCGGAAAAAGGAGGTTCTGTTTTGTTGATGGTATTGTGAGTTTCTTTGATAACATAGGTCTTCTTCCATCCAGGATCATTGTTGGGGGAATAACCTGCCTTGTGTGGCGGGTAATCATCAGATGGAGGATAATTTCTATAATAATAAAATACATCCTCTAGAGATTTAGGAATATAATCATATAACAAATTTATGATAATGTACCAAATCATTATACAGAGCGGTCCAGAGAAAACGAAACAGAGGCTCTGTAGGTCGCCAGAACCTGATAATAGAAAAAAAAAGTTGGAACACGTCAACTACATTTTCGAGGGAGACATCTTTCTAAAATATTTTCAGCGATGCGGCGTTGCCGCTTCTATCAAAAAGTAGCAAGAGCTTTGTTATTTAAAATGGAATACCCTGTATTACATTGCATTTTTAGATCCTCCCTGAAGAGCTGATTTAATCAATGCATCACACTTGGGGTCTATGGAGAATGATTACAGAGATATTGGGTGTTGGGTGTTCAAAATCGAGATTCTTCAACTTTTAGAATTTTTTGTGTGGAAACTATTCATAATTGGTTGAAACGGCTTGCATGTCGCTGTCTTGATTTTTGGTTTGGATGGGATGGGATGGGGATGGGGATGGGGATGGGGATGGGGATGGGGATGGGGATGGGGATGGGGATGGGGATGGGGATGGGGATGGGGATGGGGATGGGGATGGGGATGGGGATGGGGATGGGGATGGGGATGGGGATGGGGATGGGGATGGGGATGGGGATGGGGATGGGGATGGGGATGGGGATGGGGATGGGGATGGGGATGGGGATGGGGATGGGGATGGGGATGGGGATATCGTTAGGCACCTACTCACCTATGATGGTCGGTCTTGTTGATATTGGTGGTAGTGGTGGTCGAGTCTTTGACGATGTAGGTGTCCTGCCTCGGCATGGGCGGTGGCTGCGGATGGCCGTTTTGCAAAACGTTCTTGGTGGTCGAGCTCTCGTTGTAGAAGTAGGTCTGGTTGGTGGTCGGAGGATTGTTGTCCGCCCTGTAGCCGGGCTGGTAGTTGCGTGTCGTCACGGTCTCCTTCACCACTACTCCACCTGATGCAAATTGTGAAAGTGAAAATTACTTTTTCCTCCGATTGGCAGCAAATATTAATTTTGCTGACACATATCAATCAGCAAAGTATTACTTTTCCTGCCTAGGCAGCAAAGTGGTCACTTTGCTGATTGATATGGATCAGCAAAATTAAAAATCCATAAATCGTTTATAATTTCCTTCATATTTCTTCCGAGACTTCTCCGGCAACAAATTCAACTCTATATTTTTTGCCACCTCCCTTATTAATGGAGGTGTAAGTATACTTCTAGGTCGCTATCACTGTCCATTATATAATAATTTAAATATACCGATATTTTTTCGCTACGCTCGGCTATGAATTCAGCCACGGCAGTCAATCTACTACTTTGCTGCCTAGTTAAACAAATAACTATTTGCTGAAGAGAAACATATTATTCGACAAGCATATATCATGCGATCTATTATGAATAAATGCTCATATGCTAGTAGAATACGAAAGGTCGAAATAAATAAGATGGCAGACACTGGTAAGTCAGATTAATTTTGATAGTTCAATGTAAACAAGGTTTTATAGAGGACCATGCACTTTTATCACTTATAATTACACGAGAGCTTTTTTTTTTGTCGATGTAAACTTGACATGTATCAATGAGAATTTTGTTGTCTGGCAATTTGATGAAAAAAACTGCCTATGAAAAAATTACGAGTCCGTGGGACGCTGTCATATTGACAAAATCACGCGGCTTGTGGGATTTTTCATACATGAATTGAATTGTCAGTATAATACCGAATGATTGGCTATAAGGACGCATTGCTATTGGTTGAAACAACGAAAACGTCACATATTTTGGCATGTGAAAGAAATAATCGACAAAAAATACTAATTCCATCACTGTCTATCTAACCGGATGCGACCTCAACTTTTGATTTTCAAATAGGACCTTAGGTTTTTCCTGATCAAAATGTCAAAAGGAAGTTTACAATTAGTTTTTATCTTTTAACAATGACAATCTTCCGGTTAAACCAGCGAACGGATGGAATACGTTTTTGTTTGTCAACACCATGTGTTGGGAACATTTTTTTATGGAACACCTTTTCATTTGCATATTATGATACAATGATAAGCAAAATAAACACAGAAATCAATTGGGTATAAACATGGAAATCAAATGAATTGGAACGTGTGGATATTCGTGCGAAAATCTCCAAGTTACTAAAATAACCTTATTGGTTTCATTCAGCCAAAAGAGAAACTCACCTGGCGGACTGGGCTTCTGATAAGGCTTCTGGTACCCTTCCTGCTGGTACACCAAATTCTCCTTATCCTCCGCCCTGCTGCTGTAAACGAAACTCTGGCTGGGCATGGAGCCGCTCCTATTGGGAGAGTACACGTACTTCTCCTCCACACCTGGAACGTTCGCCGAAGAGGGAGAGAATTCTCCCCCAGTGGGGGAGCCGGGGATCTCGTAGGTGTAGGTCTTGATAGTGGTGGTGACCTTATATAGAAATTGTAAAAAATAGTACTAAGTGGCAAAAAAAAACACAAGAAATCTTATATTTTTCCCGTGTATAATGAACTATTTTTTTTCTGTGACAGGAAAAAGGACGATTCAATATTGAGAAGATATTACGCTAAAATAAAATAAGAAAATTATAAATGTGGAATTTGAAGTTATTAACTGGTAAGTATACACCTGTGTTTGCAGACATCTTTTTGTAGGCATCTTTATTGTTGCTATGGAGATCTTTCGAAGTAATCGCATATGTGTGAATTCAATTCTGTGTTTTCATTTTGAAAAAATACGAACAGTGGTTGTTCAGTAATTTACGTAATTGCGAAGTTTAATGGGTGAGGATAAAATGGCTTTCAGTTCTTTCCCGGAGACGGTGTTATTGACTTATTTTTTGGAACTGGCCCAACAAAAGCCATCAACAATGCACCCATACAGGGTGTTGCGAAATTCGACCGACAACGCTTGATAGGTGATAGCCATCGTGATTTCATAATCACTGCGATAGGGACATACGTCTTCAAGTGTTCAGTTCTCGAGATACAGGGCGTTAAAGTTGAGAAATAAAAATAATTGTTTCACAATATCTCAAGCACAATAATTGAATATAATGCTAATGCATTCAACTTTGGTATATGGTTTCATCTTTGAATGGGTTATTTTTTGAGCAGAAAGCCATTCCGGACATTTCATCCAGTGGTGCCCTACAGGGGGTTTGTGGCAACTTTTCCTCCCATATTTTCTACGCCACTGATTAAATTTCGATTATTTCCAATTCCTCGAATTCATTGTTAAATTTTGTTCAAAAAATGCATTACCTTCAACTGAGCTGAAATGAACAGTTTTCGAGATATTCGACCCAAAATAGAAGATTGCATAGTGATATTTCATCATTTTCAGTAGTAGAAAATTACAAAAATATTTTTCTGGTGTTGAGTAGACCAGATACTATTCAGATCTCATTCTTTAGCTGGACAGAAATAGTAATTCCACGCATAAAGAGAAAACAAAAGTTTTTGTAATTTTCTACTACTGAGGAAGATGGAAAGTTATTATGCAAACTTCTATTTTGGGTCGATAACTGTTCACTTTAGCTCAGTTGAAGGTGATGCATTTTTTCAACATAATTGAACCAACAATTCGAGAAATTGGAAATACTTGAAATGTCATCAGTGGCGTAGAAAATATGGGAGGAAAGTAACGACAACCCTCTGTAGCTTACCTCTGGATAAAATTCTCGTAATGTTTTTCTAAAATTAACCATTGAAAGATGAAACCATATACCAAATTTGAATGCATTATATTCAATATTTCTTGAGATATTGCGAAAAAACTATTTTAATCTCTTGACTTCAACGCCCTGTATCTCGAGAACTGAGCACTTGAAGACTGTATGTCCCTATCTCAGTGATTATGAAATCACGAGGGCTATCACCTGTCAAGCGTTGTCGGTCGAATTTTGCAACACCCTGCACATCCGGGAAAAAAGTACAGATTTGGGTCACTTTCAAGAAAACTCTAGATCTTTGATAGCCATCTTGAGTCAATTCTGATCGTCGGATCTCTTCATCTGGAGTTTTATCTTCAAAATGAGCCTAAGATTTCCAAAATCGGTTGACGTGGAAAAAAGTTATGGCTGCAAAACCAAAAAGTTGATTTTTTGAGATCACTCTGTAAATAAGAGAGATAGGAAGTTGATTCGCGAAATATCTCGAGGTAATGAGATCATCTTCATGCCTCTGTTGTCGAAGTTGAGAAATTTTTTTTTTTCACCATTTGAGAGCCTTTGGAATATTCCGAAATTTTGCACAGTGTCGGAAAACACCATGTAGAGATTTTATGTGAATACCCTTATGTTTCAATGAAGTACCAGATTCTAGCTGAAAGACTGGGCTATCGAACAGTGTGAACCAAATTCAAATTGTTCTAAACTGAAAAAAGGTATTCACATTATAACAGGGGCGACATTTTGGTGTGCGACGAAATTAGTGTTGAGAAGTTTACATAATGAAGGATAAGTCAGGTACACAAAATGGTAGACATGTTATCAATCAATCAATCAATTACAGACCTTGGTGTTGCCGGGGGGACGCAAGTTGGGGTCCAGATGGGCGAGCACTTCGGGATCGATGGTACCGGGGGTGGTTTCGAGCACTTCTGCGGGGTACTCGCGCACGTTGCGTTTCGTCAGGGTGGCAGTCTTGGGGGTGGGGGAAGTGGTTCGTCGACGCTGCAAGCTGTCCATGTAGGAACCTACGGGGAGTGACGACAATAGTGGTATCGTATCCAGAAGCTACGTACATATACGCCCTGTATAGCGCTTCTAGATTAATGAGTGTTGATCTATTGATGACCCACGGGTATCGATGTATGAGTAATATTAGGTAGTTGAGAAGTAGCCGTGATATGGCTAGGTTGTATCTCATACCTATTGTGAATATAGTGGAAATCGTGGAGTACCCAGAGTGTTTTATTCTAATAACCGTCCACAATAACCGTCCACCAAGCTAACACTGGGTTTCTCCATCGAGTTCTACACATTCTATTTCACTTTGTCAATGCTTCATTGTCCCTTTGGGCACAATAAAACATCTGTACGAACAACACCTACCTGGTAGCTATTCGATATCAAGAGGACTGAAATATGGAGTTTTCAATGACGTTTTAATAACAAATTACTCCAGATAATATCGTAACTATGATATACATAGTGATCATTAGCTTTCTTCAGGAATTAAATCAACCAAAGATAACATGACGACCTCTTAACAACATCCAACAATGAGACATGAAACTCTATACTTCAGTACCTTGAATATTAACTCTATTAGAATCCGTCTTTTGGGACTCATAGTCTGAGATTATTTAGATGATTAAATGAAAATATCAAATATCTAAACCTATCATCAGGTGGGCACTTTGAAGGCGCAAAATCATTACTGCATGGGAGATACCCTTCAGAGTTCTAGCTATTCAGTGACTTTACCACAAATGACATTCCAAGAACGGCAGCCATTTGGAGGTCTATTATCGTCACTTTTCAATTTACTCTACTCTATTGACGAGAATGTATATTCTGGAGGGTTATTAAGATGTCTCTTGAGGGTTATCAAGATGTTGGTCATTTCAAAAATTCAGGCGCCTTCTGGTGGCGGAATTGGACAGCTAGTTAGTGATTAACCATCGAATATGTTTGACTATTTGGAAGAATTATATGTGATGCCATAGTGTGTATACAGTCAAATTATCATAGATGGTCCCTGATTGGCTAGTGTTAGCGACTAGGCAGATGCCGGTGCCCTGTACCATTAGAAGCACAGCAGAGCTACAGTTAGTGGTTACATAAGGTTTAGTCAGCTATCTACAAATGACTGTAACCGATCAGGAGGTATTTAGGTTGATTTATTCTTATTTGAAGCGTTGTAAAGAATACATTGTGTTGAGTGTTAATAAAGGTGCAAGATTTCAGAGGGACTGATTCTGTTCTGTCAACCCTATACCGAGCAGTGCTAATACTAGTGAATAATTTTTAGTTTCAAATCGATATAATTGGTAGGTATTACTATAATTTTTATTATCATTCATGGTAGCACATTACTTGATCCATCCTGTATAGTAAAATATTCTAAAATATTTCCAGATAGATATTAGTCAAAGTTGATATATAAATGTAAACGTTGAAAAATGTGAATCGGTGACACAGTTGTATTCAATGCATATACCTGATTTTAGTGTGGACCAATAGATATTTACTAAGATCATCCGTGTTTCAATAGTGATCCTAATAAGTGATAATATTTATAATATTTGTAAGATTGTTCTTTTCAATTTAACTGCAGATATGGTCAAAGTGAAAAAATCATGAATGCTTTCCGCGAAAATATATAAGCTGTGAATCCTTCATTTGTGGAATGCATTTGAAAATCTCTTCTTATCTGCATTATTTATTTTGTCCTTGATATTCTCCTGAATGAAGGGTTGGGCAATATTGTGCATCCGACCTTGATTGCTTTAATGATAGCGTGAGCAGAGATCTGATAAAAAAATGTGAGTACACTAGATAAATGATTATATTTCCGGAAACTATTTTCTAATGAACAGGGAGTAATATTTGCTATAACATATAGGGCCAGATGCCTCTTCAATAATGTATGATACCATACATACGGGGTGATTCAAAATTCGATGTATATAGTCTGAGGACGAATTGTTGGGATCATAATAAGACTTTTTCTTCATATAAACTTGTGTCCCAAAATGCAACCCGTTCGAGCTACAGCCACTATAATTTGGATAAAAAAAAGATAATCTGAAATTGTGATCATAATAACGGATCAAGTACAAGTATTCCACTACTGCACGCCTCTGCAATAGCAGTCTCAAATGTGTTCCGACATACGTTGGAAAAGGATGTTCTGACTTGCCCTTTCGTTGATTACAATTTACTGACAAACGGATAGTTGTTAGAAAAAAAAAATGCAAGAGACCGAATTCTTACATTTTTTTGTGGTCCACAAGATCATGCTATCCAACGTGAAAGTTTCTCTTTTTGAACATAAAATTTGGGCCATTAAAAGTGTGGTCCCCCCTCCAACTCTCCCAAAACTAGGTTGACATCATTTTTGAAGCAAGAAGGAAATATGAAGAAAAAGTCTCATTTCGATCCCAACAATATGTCCTTAGAATATTTACATCGAATTCTGGAATACCCAGTTTGTAATGTAATGAAAAACTGATGATGTATGAATTGATGTATATAGGTTCTTCTAAGATTGATTCACCGTTTTAATTAGCAATATTCTATATTTGTGAATCATTTCAGTTGAATTCGTTTCAGCATGCTTGTTGACATAAATGATTGTCGATTTTAGCAACTTCTCATATCTGATGGAAATTGTGCAATTATCGCCGAGGTCGGACGCCCGATTGCCCCACACCCTGTACAACATATCACCAAGTATGTTTCTTGAATATCAATGAAGTCGCATATATTGACAAAAAACTAGCTATTGCTAGTCTATCTAAAAAATTTTGTTTGTTCTAAAATTTGTTCTATCCGTCATTCGGTTGCCCCCTTACGAGCAACCCTCAAAAGTCTTCGAAAGTCTTGTGCGAGCAAGGAATGACGGGGGCCTTACCTTTTAACGTGTGATCCCAAACACTTAAACATCTATACCAATTTTCGTGAAAAAAATTGCTATATATATGATAACTATCAAGTCATAATGTCTTGAATGGGTTGAATCAAAACTGTACCTATTTGATGATTGGCTAATTTCCTAATTAATTTTGCCCTTGAAATAGTTACTGGAGACTGTCATTACCTTCGCTGGTATATTGGACGTCTCTCCTGATAGACCCTTCTCGTTCGTTTCTTTCGATAGTCTGGTTCCTTGAACTATGACTAATAGGGGAGTCTCCATAGTGGAGTTCTCTATTCACGTTCTGTTTCGAGTATACAGATCTGGAAAAATATATTCATAAATACACAGAATCATTTTGAGAAAAGAAACGGCGAATTATTTCCAATGAAATTCTCAATGTTTCCTAAAAAGATATTGGAAATTCGTTTCAATAAAATTTTGTTACCCTAAAAGCTCTTGGGAAGATATCTTTGTATCAGGTTATTCAGAAAACGATTAAATCTTAGTGTAGTTCAAGAATGTATCCTCCAATAACTGAAATTCTAAATCATTCCCACAGTCTTGTTAACTCTCAATCGAGTTTTTAATATAAATAATTGGTCGTCAAGGTCGTCAACATATAGAACAAGGCCTAAAAATTGATAATTCTCATCTCTCGATACTCACTGTAATTCTGGATCCACGCCAGCCCCATTATACGATTCTGAAAAACAAATAAAATGAAAATAAACGGTGATTCATCAGAATTTGCAAAGCAGCGTTGGTGTTAACTTGCCTTTTTCTGTAAATGAGGATTTCTTGGCCTGCTGCAAGTCATCTAATAGGGTGTCCAGTTGGTTGATGCTGCTCTGCATTCTCGTTTTTTCTGGAACCACATCCCCACTGGTCTTGTAGATGTACTTTTCTTTTTTGTATCCGCTGATCTGTTGTCTGCCATCCGGACTCTGAAAATCACTCAGTGAAAACATTTTTTTCAATTTCACGTGTGGTAGTAATATGTTGAATAACTAACTGAAGTTATGAAACCTATCACTCTTATTGAACGATTAAAAAATGTTGATAATCCAGCTATTTATCTAATCAGATATAAAATGCTTCAATGTTAATACCACAGAGTTGCATTTCCTGAATTGTTAGGTTCAATATATTTGATCAAATTTTTTTATTTCAAGACGCTTGTGTGATTCAGTATTTGCTCAAAAAGATATGAATAGTACTTGAATGTCTATTTTATGAAAATTCACCTTGTAGCTGTAGGCGTCATCCGACGAATACTCGGTAGCAGGATTGGCGGATTTCAAGTTGGTAATCCTGCTGAGCGAATTGGTTCGTCCTGCATCGAGAGCACTCACCGATCTCGAGCTGTCCTTGTAGTTGGTGGTGTGCCCCAAGGAGCTGCCCGGCCGCGAAACTGAGTTCTGAAGATCCTCCAGCAAATGATCTGACAGGTGAGTAATACTTCAATAATTCACTATTTGAGTTTTTTGTTTTATGATGAAGTTCACAACAATAGGACAGACACCTGAACATTAATAGATTTTCTTTGATTTAACTCAAGATTTCCACTAAGCATGCAATTTGTTTTGAGCTGCCCCAATTGTCAACAAGAGCGAGACAGTACTGTTTCGGATCAAAAGACATAATCAGTAGTCGCACTCGGTCTGCTGATACGTGGAACGACTCAACGTTTATAGTTCAAGAGCCGGCTGCAAATCTCGACCGTTATCTGACAAAGAAATTATACACTGTGTCCATAAAGTCACCCCCCCCCTGGTTAACTATTGAACGGATGAGATTTTTTTTTTCAATTTTTTTTTGCTTCAATGGTAGTTTCAGTGCTACATATTGTTCCAAAAAAAATTATGTATCCTCGAAAATGGCGCCTGGGCGCCATTTTGGAAGATTTTTTCAAATGGAGTCGGGGGTCGAAAGATACCTCGATTGAAAGGTCTTTCGATTCTCTATACAACCTCAGAATCTCAGACGAAAATATTCATCCAAAACAAAATGGCGGATGATAACGTTTGAAATCTCACACCAGAATTCTTTCGACCAGATGGCTATTAAAGTGCTCGCATGTGATCTTCAAATCTCTATTGGCGAATAGAAGAGTTCTCTATCTATGAAGATATCAATAGGAAGCCATTTTGAAGAGAATAACGTGGTAGTCAATTATTACCTTTGCTCGATTGTCTTTCCAAATTCTGCAAAGTTTTAGAAATATTTATTCAAAATAAAGAACAATGTTTATTCCACGTGACTACCATGTTATTCTCTTCAAAATGGCTTCCTATTGATATCTTCATAGATAGAGAACTCTTCTATACGCCAATAGAGATCTGAAGATCACATGCAAGCACTTTGATAGCCATCTAGTCGAAAGAATTCTGGTGTGAGATTTCAAACGTTATCATCCGTCATTTTGTTTTGGATGAATATTTTCGTCTGAGATTCTGAGGTTGTATAAAGAATCGAAAGACCTTTCAATCGAGGTATCTTTCGACCCCCCACTCCATTTAAAAAAATCTTCCAAAATGGCGCCCAGGCGCCATTTTGAGGGATACATATTTTTTTTTTGGAACAATATGTAGCACTGAAACTACCATTGGAACTGGAAAAAATTGAAAAAAAAATCCCATCCGTTCTAAAGTTAACCAGGGGGGGGGGGGGGTGACTTTATGGACACAGTGTATATGTCCCAAAGGCAAGTGAAACCATTGTAGTTTATCGAACGACACCTCTGCCAATCACTATACTGAGCAAAATGATTGAAAAATTGCACTTTCCTGTGCGTAAATTTGCACTAAATTTCGCGATTTGATAACGAGATAAGAATTATGCCATTCAATACCAATTGACTGGTATATTTCAAAAACCTACCTGTGCCATCGCTCAGTATGAGCCAAATCGACGGCACAGCGATTTATTTGCTACTATTATTCCGGACATACTTCCGTCCTGTGATAACGAGTTGAAACTAGAAGATAATGAAAGGTGATGATGTCGATTTTGTGAATGTCCAAACGTGCCGCGATTCAAACTGATCTAAGTTAGTGACAGAGCGTCAATACTTCCGAGAATATTTCGCCCCCCCTCTAAAGATAATATCCGATGGACCAGTATACAACTCAACATGTGGATTAGAATATTTGTAGTGTAAGCACCACATGAGTTTCACACGGGTCCATCGGATATTATCTTTCGACGAGAGCGAAATATTCACGGAAATATTGACGCTCTGCCACTAACTCAAATCAGTTTGAATCGCGGCACGTTTGGATATTCGCAAAAGGGACATTTTTCCCTTTCATTCGCTTTTTGTTTCAAGTCGTTATCACATGACGGAAGTATGTTCGGAAAAATGGCAGCAAATAAATCGCTGCCCCGTGGATTTGGCTTAGACTGAGGGGTGGCATAGATAGGTTTTTGAGATCTACCATTCAATTGGTATCGGCTGGCATAATTCTTATATCGTTATCATATCGCGAAGTCGAGTGCAAATTTACGCACAGGAAAGTGCAATTTTTCAATCATTTTGCTCAGTATAGTGATTGGCACAGGTGCCGTTCAATGAACCACAATGTTTTTCCTTTCCTTTGGGACATTTATATCATTTGGTTATCAGATTACGGTCAAAATCTGCAGCCGGCTCTCCTTCTATTATATGAATCTACTTAGTATTTGGATATGAGAATATGAGATCGCGGTATATTCTTGGCGGATAGTTACTCACCTAAATTATTATCGAATTGTGATACATTTTGATTGGAGCTGTAAGTGGAGCGAACGGGGGACAAGGTTCGCATTATCTTGGTTTCTTGGTACTCTTTTCTCTCCAACGTCGACATTTCGGGTCTTTCTTTTCTATCCTATCAGTAATCTACTTGAATCCTGTAACAAATTAGGCTTTGAAAAAATCAATTTGTTTCTAATTTTTAGTTCTACCTACTATTGGGATTGAAATGTAAATTGGTGTAAATACTCAAATTCACCGAGCTATATTATAGTTGATTACAATGTATACAGTGTCTTTCATAAAGTTGGCATCTCGGTGTGGGCATCACAATCATATATGGGAAAAACTTTTGATAAGTTATAATTTATTTTGAAATCCAACTTGAACGTTAAGTTTTGTTTAAAAAAAATGAAAAATGGCTTGCTCACGTGACTCGCTACACATGTCAAAAGTTACATTTTTTTCAAATTAGATGCCGAAAATAGGCTTATTATATGTTTGAATTTCGAGAAAATGCACTGAGGAAAAATGTTTCTTTTCCAATTTTACACATGTGTCTCGAATTTTAACGATCTATTGCAACATTTACTACACTATTTTTTTCTGTAAGAGGAAAAAGGATGATTCAATATTGAGAAGATATTACATTATACTAAAATCAGAAAATTATCGACGGGAAATTTGAAATATTTTAACAGGAATTACATCTGCGTTGCAGACATCTCTATCATTCTTTTGGAGTAATCAAATATCTGTCAGTTTAATAATATGATTTGATTTAAAAAAAAGCGAACTTAGTGGTTCTTTAGTAATTTATGAAACTGCGAAGTGGAATGGAAGATAAAGGGACTTACAGTTATTTCTCGAAGACTGTTATTGGCTCATTTTTCGAAACTAGCGCAACAAGAGCCATTAGCATTGCATATATATGTGATATACAAGGTGTTTCTAAAATAGGTGGTCAAACTTTGGGAGCATATAGAGTGGGTGAAATAGTTACGAAAACCTCCGTAACATTTTTTTCTGAAGTGACCCCCAAGAAAGATACAGCCCCTCAAAGGGGGGCCTCGGAGAATGATTTTGTATTATTATCTCCAACACCTTGTATAATGAAAATCTGAAATTTTGTCCATCCACTTACTATTCAGTGCCGGTTCGAATGGAGTCGAAATCACCTCAAAATAAAATACGGGGGTGTGTAAAAATAGGGAGGTAGGGGGTAAAAATAACCCCAACTTTTTTGTTCATCGCAATTTCAGTTTTTTGACATGAAATTATGAAATCTCAGGGCTATTTACATAGAAAAGGTGCTCTTGTTGCATCTCGATAAAATGAACTATTAGCGAATAAAATTTAAAAAAAGGTCGTTTTTAACAAAATTTTTTATTTTAGTATTTTCAATAGGATCAGACCATAATCACGAAACTCGTCGTCTATTTTTAATTCATGAATTCCGACAACGAATTCAAAATTTCCAACCCCAAAAACCCTTACAAACCAATTTTGAAAAGTTGGGGTTATTTTTACCCCCTACCTCCCTATTTTGACACACTCCTGTATTTAATTTTGAGGTAATTTCAACTCCATCCGAACCGGCACTGAATAGTTAGTGGATAAACAAAATTTTAGATTTTCATCATACAAGGTGTTGAAGATAATAGTACAAAATCATTCTCCGAGACCCCCCTTTGAGGGGCTGTATCTTTCTTGGGGGGCACTTCAGAAAAAAATGTTACCAAGGTTTTCGTAATTATTTAACTCACACTATATACTCCCAAAGTTTGACCACCTATTTTAGAAACACCTTGTATATCCGGGAAAAACAGTACTCACTTTTTTCCAGTGGGAAAAAAGTAATTTATGAAAAGTGAAATTTTATAACCTGTCAACAGAGATATGAAATTTAAAACTTTCTGTTGCTGCTCAGTAATTGTTAAGAAGCTATTTGTCATTGGCGAAGCCTTCAAGTTATGATTAACTCTGTGATGTCAGACATTTTCATCTATGTGGTTTGTAAAGCACATTAGTTATTAAAAAATCGTATTTACCCATTTTTAGTAGCACAAAATGCTAGAAATGAAAAAGACGATGTATAATGGCGAATTTTAGCTTCGGCCAGTCAGCCAACAGAGATAGGCGACTAGCGAAATAAACACGAGTCTATTTTCGTATTCCTGGCGCGCCCAGATCGCGAAATACACGCGACTCGCGAGCGGAAATCGTCTGGCTCGGAGATCCTGCGGAGACAGCGAAGACGCATCCCGATCGCAGGAATTTTGTTGGCCAAAGTCGAACGTTGACCAGTTTATTTGGTGATCGTGAAGACATGGGCGCCGGCCGACCTGCGATTCTCTTCGCGCTGGACGACCTTGACCGGTTTCGTGTGTCCTCCAGTCCAGTAGGTACAGGGTGTTCCCTTATATTTTGACCTCTACTACAGCTTCAACGGAAGAACAAAACTTCAAACATGAAAGTTGTAGAGTTTCATCTGTAATATCTCTTGGCACTCCAGTGAAAGATCCTTTTCTTCTGTTCACAAATATATACACAGATTCGCATTTGTTAATCCAAGGAGTGCCAAAAGATAGTACAGATGAAACCCTACGACATTGATATGTGGAGTTTTTTTTCCACCTCGTATAGTTCAAGCTCTAGGTAGGGGTCAAAATATAAAGAGACGTCCTCTAACTTACATTGATATGAAGTTTAGCGTGTCTGTGATAGGTTGTTGTAGAAATATAAGATGCAATATTAATTAACAAATGATGTCTGATGTTTGAGTTTTACTCTTTTACTTATTACGAAACTATTAAAATTGTTAAAAAAAATAGACCTTCAGCTGCTTGACAATAACCTAACCTATCAATTGATATCCTCAAGCAGTTTTGAAAGAAATGTAAATATTTCTTGAGAAGGTTCGTACTTTAGGGGATTGGTTGATAGATTATAGGTTATTGGCAAGCAGGTATACTATTGAATACTTTTTATTTGTTTTCTGACAACCTAACGAATTAAAATCAAATATCAGATATTTGTGTAAAAACACAAGAGCTTTTTTTGCGGAGACATTTCTCTTTCTTATGAAGAAAATGGCCAATCAATAATTTAATGAGAAAAACTTGAAAACATTGCGAGACCGTAGGTCTTATAACACTTAACAGGCACCAAAGGTGTACTTTCTCTCCCTAGGCAGAAACAGTTTGTTGCTATGCAACGTTCCAAGTAATTTGAATGGAATTGGTAATCAAAATTTACGCTGACATTGGGTGAACCCAAAATGATGGATGGTTTTATAACATTTGGAGAAAAATTATATGATTCACATGGCAGCAAAGTAGATTGACTACCTTAGCCGAATTCCTAGCCTCGGTTATGAACTATTAGCCGCGGAAGTCAATCCACTACTTTGCTGCCTAGTTAAACAAATAATCATTTTCTTATATCTCTACAACCACCAATCATAGATCATAGACGTGCCAAACTTCATATCAATGTGAGTTGTGAGAACAATTATCCGAAATGATATTCACATACAGGGTGATCCATTTTAAAAAACTGCTGACTGCGCCATATTTACAACAATATTATCAAATCTACATTGACCACTTAGTGAAACAGAAAAAAGTTTATTTAGAAATTTGGTGTTTCCACACATAAGCCCAACCCATGTAGAAGCACTGATTAGTAGTATAACATCATCCACTTGAAACCAATTAAAATTCAGCCAGCTGACCAAAATCATTGCGTCGGATTCCAACAATAACCGTCTTGTTAAATTTGAATTTGAACTGAACGACATCCTTTGGTAGATATTTGAAAATCAACTATGGTAAGGTATTAAGAGCAATGGGATTAAGTTGTTTTTCGAAGAATAATAAAAGTAGGCGTTAAGTATTGGTGATGTAACCAGATTTTTACGATTCTTTAAAGTTAAAAACATCAAATAATCTGAATAAACAAACAGTAAAAGGACGAAGTTTCCGATAACGATGACATCACCCATATGTAATTCGAAATAGTTTTATACATCTATTACCAGTAAACTAAAAGTCTGTTCGTTATATTACCTACTTGAAACGTGATACTGATACCTTCCTATATAAAATAATTAGGCGTAGGATGGGAGACCTGTTTATAATTTATCCATACAACCAACTCGTTTATTCAATATCTGTATGCATTTTCATTTGTGATTCGATTCGCGAAAAAATAGAATACCTATAAAGAGGTTTCTTCAGTGTTGGAAATTTGAACATGTAAAATATAAGTTCCATTGACTTATTGAATACCTACTAGAACTAGATGAAAAAAATATCAGTGACAGTAACAAAGAAGTTCATGTCGGACTTTTTTGTTGATAAATTAAGTACATTAAATAATTCTTGATAGGTCCTAATCATGAATGAATAGATGTTGTTACTCGATCAAAATTTTGAAGGATATATCCTCGCATTTGATTCATTATGATTCGTAAATTGAGCTATTCAACTCGACGTAACCAATACCACTAATTTTTTTGTATATAGGTAGATGAAACTCAATTTGAATTCTTAATTAAATGTCGGTGATTGATATACGGTGTCGTAGTAGGTAATGCACCATGACATGTTTCCTCCTTTCAGCCAGACCTCACTACCATTTCTATTTCGGTCTGAAACTGACCCAGATTTTTCTTTATTCGAAAACGTCTTCATTTTTACAAGATTATTCCGAGAATATAATGGCATATGGAAAATGAACCAAGTTGCATTTCTTTCTCTTTTGATGCATCTGTGCAAGATATTTTGTATGAATTAGTTATCTTTATTACACTGCATCAACAAATGAGAGTGAAATGCACAATTTGTCCTTCCAACAATGATTTTATTTTATGTGCAGATCATCATCAGATGTCTTTGTAATTAGCATCACCTGTATGTATGTAACCGACTCCGGACTCGATTTTGACCCACTTTAAACGGACCGAGTGATTGGAAATTTGGCAGGTGTACATAATTCTGGTGGCAATGCATCATGCATTTTTTGCAGGACAGAAAAAACGAAATGGCGGCTCCAAAATGGCGGACGAGTTATGCAATTATGAAACGATTCTATTCAAAATTGGTATCTGGGGGTTTTCGGGTTTGGAGATTATGATTTTTTTCGTCAAAATTGT